GTGCCTCTTTAAATCAAGCTGTGTTGATATAGTTTATGTATGCTCCATGCATGAAAATCTGATGGTCAGGGAAATACATTGTTTAAAAAAACCCTCCAAAACCAACAAACCAACCAAACAACCAAAAAGCCACCCCTGAGACCGCCCCCTACTCCCCCCCAAATAAATAAATGTAAATAATGTTTTAAAGATACAAATTAAACAGTCAGAATTGCTCAGGTTGGCACCAGCAGTTACAGCACCCAAGGGTGCTGTAAACATGCTGTGAAGAAAGAATGCTGATTTATTGTTTTAGTGACTGTTCTGTGTATTAATATTTCTTAAACTAATTAATTGAAATTTCTTTCAGTGGATGATTGAGCAGATTCATTTGAGAGATTCTTAAATGTTTTAGATTGGTATCCAGCCTGCACTTTAATTCAAATTAAGTATTAATGAGAATGACTCTGCAAAAGTGATAGTTTATAGTGAAATTATATTTTAAGAAATTAATAGTTTGAAATGTAAATGCATGCTGCAAAATTGTACTGTGTCTAAACACTTCAGCTGCCTCCTGCAAAAAATTGCATACTTCTTCATGAAAGTAATTGGGTGACTGATATTACTTAGATTACAGAATTAGGTCTTAGTTTTGTAGAATTTTGATCTGTTTAACAGTGTTAATTGAAGAGTTTAACACAATTAAATTGCTACCACTGTGATATCTTTTGGAATAGAGAGACTTCAGTGTTTTTGGAGCAGTACTTCTGTTGCCAATCATAGTCAGAAAGATAAAGCTTAATAATGTTGAGCTTATTTGGAAGTAGTTTACTATTTTACTGAATGCTTACGTTGTATTTTAGAAAGAAAAAATACAGCTTGAGATTTCCTTTCAGAACATACAGACCCTGTGTTATGAGCACACTCAGATTTTGCAGTGGCTGCAATCGTACGATGTTGTGTTCATCCTTTGTCCTTAGAGGTCCTTTAAACAGAGTATGATGTCGGCCAACACAATTCTGTTGGAGCTGCTATGATGTCAATGAGGTAACAAAAGGCTCCTGCAGGTAATTAATCTAGATCTCCTAGATTCTCTACAGGATATGAACCATAATGGTTCCCCTGACGTGAAATTAGGTCTAGATAAATCAATCTAGCTGAAACTCGAAAGGTGCTGCTGCTTTTTTAAAAAATAAATAAATAAATTAAAAATTGCCTTGTATTTTGTGAACTGACTACTCTGGTTTCAGAGTTGCATAGCTCATTTTTTAACCTTTCATTCTTCATTACAATGTGTGCATTCAGTAAAAAGTAAAATAAAGATTGTACATATTAACCATTAATCAAAGGTGAATGTTTTAGGTGTGGAATCACAGAATCACAGAATGTCAGGGATTGGAAGGGACCTCGAAAGATCATCTAGTCCAGTCCCCCTGCCGGAGCAGGAACCTAAATGAGATCACATAGAAAGGTGTCCAGGGGGGTCTTGAATGTCTCCAGAGATGGAGACTCCACAACCTCCCTGGGCAGCCTGTTCCAGTGCTCCGTCACCCTCACAGTAAAGAAGTTTCTTCTCAAGTTTAAGCTTTTAAAAAGTGGATAGGAAGTATTACATGTGATGAAAAGGAAGATGAAGCATAAAAAAAATGCTGCCTATTAACATACTGCAAAATGTCGCAGCTGGAAATATTCTTGGGTTATATTCTTCAAGTATTTTATTCTGTCTGTTGGATCTTTCTGCTATAAGTATGTTTGAAAAATGCATTGTATATGTTGAGTCACAGGAAGGGATGTATGTACAGCTTTGCGGCCATTAACCGGACTGTACTCTGAAATGTGTTACTGGTGTTGCACTATTAACATACTGCAAAATGTCGCAGCTGGAAATATTCTTGGGTTATATTCTTCAAGTATTTTATTCTGTCTGTTGGATCTTTCTGCTATAAGTATGTTTGAAAAATGCATTGTATATGTTGAGTCACAGGAAGGGATGTATGTACAGCTTTGCGGCCATTAACCGGACTGTACTCTGAAATGTGTTACTGGTGTTGCAAAAATCCATGAGAATTAAGAAATAGGTAGGGTTTTTTTTTTGTTATTCTTGATTGTTGAATATACAGATTTTTGCCATAGTTTTCTGTTATAAAAGTGAGAATCTAGAAATTTTATGGCTGTTTCATTCTCAAATGAAAGATTATTGGTCCTTTTGTACCAGAAGTTTAATAAATAGATTTTAAACAAATTTCGAAGAAGAGCACAGGCATGATCTTTGCATATCCTTTAAATAGAGGCTTTATGAGGTTTCAGTCAGTGTATTTATGATTAGGTTACACAAACCCAAAGCAACTGAGCGGTAATTTAGAACTTCTTGTTGTAAAAACTTTTCTTTCAGATGCTGCTTGTAATGCACTGTACAGAAATCACGTTATGTGCAATGGCAATTCTTTGCAGGGGGAGGACAGTGTTTCATGTGATTACAAAAAAATTATCTTTAAAATAATCAATCTTAAATCTTTTGCCATTTTAGAATAGCAATAAAGATTTTGGTGTGACCGTCTTTCTTCTTGTTCCCTATCTGAAGGTACATTGAAATTTTCAAAGTGCAATTTTGATTCTGGGGAAGATAAAGTCACTTGACAACTACATTAAATTTTCTTTGTTTCATTTCACTAGTGAGACTCCTAGCAGTTACAGGAATTTTTATTTTGGTAGCTTTTTGTTTTGTAGCAGTGAAGCTGACTTAAGTGATTTCTGGCTGCTTATTCCGACCCTTGTGGTGCGGTTTGCTTTCCCCTTCCACCCATAAGGCTGTTGCAACTCTAGGGGGAGGGAGGGGGAAGAGCAGCATTTGTAACTGGATTAGAAATACCATCCAGGGTAAAAATAACCTTAAAATTGTTGGGTATTTTTAAACCAGTTCATTAAAATGATTTATCCTCTTGCTGTGCTTTTCTTTCTGTTAGGAAACTGTAAGAAAAGGTATAATATTTGTAGATGTACTAGATAAATTAAAGAGAAATCAATAAACAATAATTACAGAAAGTAATTATCTTTTTCGTAATAGAGGTTGTACATGTAGTTGATGTGTTTATTATATTCTTCCCATTTGGACTCCTCCTAAAACACAGTTAACTTTTACTGGTAAAATAGTATTAAGAGCACTCATTTTAAATTTTACAGGCTCTGAAACCACTGTAACCGGAGTGCATGGGACTAGGATTGCAGCATCTAAATTGAATTGCTGAGAATTCTGTAAAATAACAAGTCGTCTCTAAAAATTAATCCTTTTTTCTTTCAAAACTGTAGGCTTTGGTTGTATCTAAACAAGTTTATTAGGTGAGAATCTGTTAAGTATGGAACTTTTACATTTTAATACCACGTCCCTTTAGAATAACTAGCAAAGCAGCATCAATTGTAATGCTGTTTGTGGAGTGAATTTTTTTCAGGCTATTAATTCCTTTTAATATATGTTACCTTTGGCAGCCTGTTTGAACTCTTTGTACAGTTTGTATATATAATGTATCAGATTAAATTCTTTTGAAGGCACTTGGGTTACAACAGTTACAGTTACACCAAAGTGGTGTTTAGAGAAAACACAGATATGCATTGAAATAGACTTTTTACTATACTAGACTTTCAAAACAGGGGCAAGTAATTAGTCTCCACTGCACTAGGGAAGGACAAGAAGTTATAATGTGTTGTTGTTGCTTCTGGTTACACAGCAAGTTTTACTTGGAATACTGACTTTAATTAAAATATCCTGCCTTCATTACACCAAGTACATATGTTTTTGGTTGCAAGAAACTGATAGCTCTTTAAAAATAAAGACCTTATGAAAATTGTGGGTCATCTTGTCCAGTGTTGTTTCCAAAAAATACAGTACATTCATGATTCCTTTAAATTCTTTATTATATTAAAGCATATATATATAATAAAGCCATTTAGAGTTTAAATAGTTGTAATGTATTAGTCCTCATCTGTTTTACAGGATATGTAACAAAAATTAAAATCTACTTCATGTGCTGGTACTGTGTTTAGGAAGCACTTGAGTCATCAGTTACATTTGCCACCCCTCGCAATTCATCTCCCCCTACCCACCAAAAAAATCATAATGCCCAAACTTCTGTTTAGTTGCTTGTAAAAGCAGGGCTTAATTACACTTGCAAACAGTGTATTTTGATAATTAATGGGTAAAACCAGTCCTCATTATATTTTATTGTACATAAAACTTTGTTAGTTAGGTTGGAATCTGGCCAGTAGAAGTTCTCTGTAAACTCTGGCTCATGTGTTTCTCTTGATGTAACAGTACAGTCTTGTTGTTTCAGGGCATTAAGCTTTGTTTAAAAATGAATAAATGAACTAGTGCTTTAATCAGAAAGACAACTTGTACCTTAGTATCTGCACAAACACTGTAAGTCACACTGTAGTCAGGCATGTTGGTCAGTCTGTCTTGACCTTGTTTACACTTGGATTCGTACCACTGTCGTGGTTGATACTAAGCTGAGCTTCACTGAATTTTGATACCAGAAATACACAGAATCACACAGAATTGTCTAGATTGGAAAAGACCTTTAAGATACTCGAATCCAATTGTTAACCTAACACTGACAAGTCACCGACTAAACCAGGTGTCCTCTCAGCCTCCTTTTGTCTAGACTAAACAACCCCAGTTCCTTCAGCTGTTCCTTATAAGACTTTTGCTCCAGACCCTTCACCAGCTTCGTTGCCCTTCTCTGGACACGCTCCAGCACCTCAATGTCCTTCTTGTAGTGAGAGGCCCAAAACTGCACACAGCACTCAAGGTGCAGCCTCACCAGTGCCAAGTACAGGGGTAAGATAACTTCCCTGGTCCTACTGGCCACGCTATTACTGATACAGGCCAGGATGCTGTTGGCCTTCTTGGCCACCTGGGCTCACTGCTGGCTCATATTCAGCCAGCTATGAATCAACACCCCCAGGATAATAGCAGCATATTAACTGTTACTAATCTATTTTCTTCAGAAAATATTATATTGAAAATAATGTTTTTCTGGGTTATTCGAGATGATTTGACCTTAAATGACCATTTTGCTGTAGTGATGATGATGTTTAGCTGTCCACTGCCATATAATGGTGTGGACATTACTGTAATTGTATGGCAAATATGGTATTTAAAAGTGGCTTCACATCCTGCGTCTGTCAGTTTTCTGACAAAGGAATCTGTTTTGGGTGTTGTTAGCATCCTTTGTCTCAGCTTCCAATATCCAAGACATAAATCCTGCAATTGTTTCGTGAGTTTCCATGGGCTTTGTGAGACCTTCCACATGTTCTAGCTAGAAAAATATAGCGTAGTTATATTCACCCCCCTTCATCAGGGGTTCTTCCATTTTTTTTTCTCCTTTTGCTTGCATTTGTCTTTACTGTGACTTGCTTAAGTGGTGTAACTGCCTCGTCAAATGTAAGCTCTCCTTCTTTTCAAGTAAAAGAAAGTACAAAGAAAAATAGAAGTTTTTATGTTTCCTAAGCTAGGCAGTCAATGGTTAGTTTACAGAACAGAGATGGGCAAAAGGTATGAAATATAGGTTTGTTTGGCCTGTACTATGAAGTCTTTGGAAGTCTCTGTGTAACTGAAGGCTTGTGCCAAAACAAACTCCTTATTGACTCCTTATTAGTATATTAACTGTGCATAGCAAGTGTAATATATTTTTTACATATTTTATATATATATTTATATATACTTGAAATGGACTTTTCTTACAATTTAAGGAAGAGAAGAAATCTAATGACTGTATTTCAGCATTAATTCAAATAGCATGTTGTAGTCCTAAAGACATGCAATCTTAAATGACTTCTATTTGCAATTTTTTAAAAGAATAATATTCAAGCATCAGAAGCTCTTAAAACTGAAACTGATGATTTGAAGAAGAAGCATGATGAGGCTGCTTCAAAAGTTCTCCAGCTTGAAGAAGATATCATGACTGTTACTCAAAAAGCCATTGCAAAAGAAACTGAGTTAGACAGGTATTTAGTAGTTTTGTTCCTTACCTTCCTTATTTTACTGTTTCTTTCCATAGATGTTTCTTTTAACTAGCAATTTTACTGTATGCATTGATTTTCTGTGTTAATAGTTCTGTACTATTAATTTGTCAATGTCTTAGTCTGAAGGACAAACTGAAGAAAGTGATGCTTGAGAAGGAGCAACTTGAATGTGTGTTAAAGACAGAAAAGGATGAAAAAGAACTTTATAAGGTAACTTTATTCATTGTACCTGTATACACTAAAATGAAGTGATTTGAGATAAAGGTAATAATGTTTTATGGAGAAGTCTGATAAATTGAAATTGTTAAGGAAAAAAGGAAATGGGTAACTTCTTTGAACATATTTTTAAGACCATTATAGCTGTTCTCGTATAAAAATTAATGAGAAAAATAGCATCTGAATTCATCCTGTGATATAAAAAGGTCTCTAAGAAGGAGAATGAATCACCAGTTTGTTAAAATGCAGGCATAATAACAAAAAATAATAGATGCTAGTGAGGAAGTTCTTTAGTTATATAGTGCATCATGCAGTAACTGTTTTTCTTAACACACTTTTTCATAAGTAAATTAGTTTTTACTCTTCGAAATTCTCTCTCCAGGCTGTGTTTTCTAGATCCTTATTCCTGAGTCTTGTGCATAGCTCTGAGAAGCTTTAGTAGGATCTATATTGCATTGATTTTTACTAGCATAGCTGATTTCTTTTGCTGGTATTGACAGACACCCATATGTAAAATAAAACAAAATATAGTGCCCCCCTCCAAAAGGCAAAAAAAGTCTTATATTTTAAAATAATGAAATCCTTAGGTTGTATAAAACAAATCAAGTGTCTTTAAATATTATTTCTGTTCATAGGAAAATGTCTTTATGTGGGAGACAGTATTAGATACGCACCAAAAGTCATAAAATCTCAGTACATCTTTCACAAGCATAGAATCCCTTTGTAAATAAGCAACACAAATCTTCTAATCTTTGAGTGTCCAACACTCAGTGTTGAGTGCAACAGTTATCTTTTATTAGGTACAATGTGATAGACTTGACAATATCTTAAAATCAGCTCTAGAGTTGTTAAAGTAGTTTGCTGTCTTTGGAAATTAATATTGCTGATGTAGTCCTGTTTGCTTAGATGATTGCAAGTAGGTATACTACTAGAAATCCAAGTTCTCTTTAGTTTTCTTCAGGTCATTTCTTTTTCACTTGTCCTTAGTTGTCCAGAATTTGTGAAGAGAGGTGTGAATTCTGAATAGTTTAATTTGATGTGGACAGAAATCAGGAATGTAACTTCTAGGTGTAGAATGCAGCTGTTGTTAGATGGTCAAGCTGAAGGAATTCCAGCCAGAAAATTTGTGCTGGAGGGCAGTGATATTATCAAATGTTTAATTTTTCTCTTTACCTGTTCTAATGTGTCTCAGAGATGAGTTAGAATTCAGTGCACGCTTAAATGGACAGGTGAACAGTAGTTTTCATAACGTGGAAGAAGAGTTTGACATTTTTTAGCATCATTACAGATACACTTGAAGAATACAGAAATAGAAAACACCAAACTAGTAAAAGAAATCCAGACGTTTAAGAATTTGGATGCAAACAAAGAAAACATGATATCGTATTATAAAGAGGAGGTTGGCAGATTACAGCTATTTATAGCTGAAAATGAAAATATGAAGAAAGCTTTTTTGCTCTCCTCATCAGACAAGGTAAGCATTACAAATATAATTGGCCTGGTTTAAAATAAACATATCTGAGGCTGTATGTGTTTGACAGGAGAAAGGAAGAAGCTAAAGATGTCAGCAGGGCATAGCTGAGAGGCAAGAGGATTGTAGTGGTCTCAGTAGATGCCAAAAATGAGCAAAAGAGTGACTTTGGTTTTAGTTGTGCACATTCTGAGCTTGTTGAGGTGTCTCACATGATGAACTGTGAGATAAACTATGTGTGAAAAAGTAATTTGTGAGTTCAGTAAAAGTGCACCAGTAAAAGTGGCGCACTCCTTTGAGTTGCCTTTAACTTGATGAAAAAGGAAAGAGATTGAGGAAGAGAAACGTTAGGAATGTAGACATGTTGAGAGTGCAGAAGGATGAGGAGAGGAGACTTTGAAAGATGCACTGAAGGACTTAGGTGAATGTACTGTCAAGGTACAATGATGTAAAACCTGAGAAAAAATAAGATACCATATAAATGGACTAAATTGACTGATAACTCAGCAATAAGAGTGCCAGCAGGACTTCAAAGGAAGAGATGATTTTTGCTGTGCCATGTGGTAGCATTGTGGTTAGCAAGCAGCGTGGTATAGTAGGAGAGTGAAGTTGCTGAAAAACTGGTATCTGTGCTGTCTGTGGTCCACTTGGGGTTACTTCAGAATAGTTTGAGTGTGGTGCTAGGGATAGAATACTCATTAGGTGTTTGTTCCTGATTGACATCTTCTTGTTTTGTTTCATCCAAAAGGAATGCAGTTTCTGTGCCCTGAGACTGTTCTGTCCTGTGATCTTCAGTGTGATAGGCAATAGTGGAACTCACTGGGAGTTTTGCTCTTGATCCAAGTTAGAGAGGTAGTTTAGACACAGCCTCTGAGGCCAGCAGGGAAAAGTCAGATTATGCAGGTGACTTTATCTTGTGTATCTTGCCAGTCTTCTCACGGAAAAAGCAATCTAGATCTTGAAAGAAGAGAAATTTTATTAATGTGAGTTATTAATGTAAAATTTAAGAGGAAAAGTAGTACTGTTGACAATGGAAATAGCAAGAGAACAATAAGAACATTCTATCTTGCTTTAAGTTACAGCCTATCTTGTTTTAGTGTTTGACTGCTCTGTAATTGTGTTTCTGAATGTGTTAAACTACTACTGTATTTTATTTAGAAGTAAAAACATGTAGGGGATGTGTGTGTGCCAATACTGAAGCAACCAAACATTTATGTCATTTATTAATCTTGAAGTGCTTGTGACGTTTCTGGTGAGATCATTAACGTCTTTGTGTTATACTGGGAAATTGCGAATATTTGCTGAAATATGTAACTGATGCTCATGTGCTGTAAAAATAGCTAAGGGACAGGACTTTAGGGCATTTCCTGGTCTGCCCATCTTCATAAATGGTTACAAAATACAGTAGTATTCCTCTGGACTTGCTATGCTAAGTGTTTATTGAAAAATTAACAAATAATCACAGAATGTTAGGGATTGGAAGGGACCTCTAAAGATCATCTAGTCCAATCCTCCTGCTGGAGCAGGAACCTAAATGAGATCACACAGGAAGGTGTCCAGGCGGGTCTTGAATGTCTCCAGAGAAGGAGACTCCACAACCTCCCTGGGCAGCCTGTTCCAGTGCTCTGGCACCCTCACAGTAAAGAAGTTTCTTCTGAAGTTTAAGCAGAACCTCCTGTGTTCCAGCTTACACCCATTGCCCCTTGTCCTACCACTGAACAATAGATACCTGAATTTATGTCTAGACTCAAGAATATGAGATGATTATGCCTTCAGAAAGCCTAGAGGCTGCAAGTATGAGTAGCTTATAATAGGGTTTTTTTCTTTTCTTTTTTTGGAGGGGGTGCAGGATGTGTGTGATCCTGGGCTTTTCTGAGGAGTTAGAGGCCAGTAGTGTGGCTTGGTTGTTTGGCCTTTGGGCTGCCCTATGCAACTGCAGCAGCGCTGAGAGTCTTAGTGCAGCATGCTGTAGCTTGCTTTTCGTTACTTTTTGTTCTCAGTTCCTTCTGAAAAGCTTGTTGTGCAAGATCTTGGGAAATGGAGCTGTGGGAAAAACATCCCAAAGCTGCTTTAGTGTCTTACATCAACCAGCTGTAGGCATCGTAAGACCTCTTACTCTCTTGTTACCTGTGGGATGAACTTCGGTTTTGAAACTGGGTGGTTTGTGCCCATTCTTATCACCATTCTGTGGTGATAAGAATAAAGATGTTCTGGAAAACAAAGACTTTTTTTGGCATATGTTTAAAATGAAAGCTGAAAATACAACAAAAATCCAATATAGATTAAAAAATATTATTTAAATTGGCCTTTGTGTCACAGAATACTATGTTAGCACACCATTGTTAGCAAAGAAGGCAAATGGGAAAACTTGTAGTTAGTACTTGTGTACTAACTTTTTGATTTAGTGGTTTTCCTAAAGCCACCAGGAAAACTTTACTTTTTTCTTTCAAATGTTTCTAATCCCTATACCAACCTTTATTGAAGATTTCAATTAAAAAGTGGTGGATTCTCTTCCCTCTCTCCTCTTTCCCAGGAGGATGCAAGTATTTTAAAAGAACAGCTTCGGAAAGCTGAAGATCAGATTCAGGCTAGAAAACAAGAAGCTGTCCTAATGTCAAAAGAGCTGAGCGATGCAGTAAATGTGCGAGATAAGACGATGGCAGATCTTCACAGTGCACGTCTGGAAAATGAGAAATTGAAAAAGCAGCTTGCTGATGCTTTAGCTGAGCTTAAAAAAATCACGGTTTTGAAAAATGAACAGGTAAATTGTCGCTATTTATTACTGAAGTTTATCTGTATTTCTGAAATCTGTCAGAGGTAGCTTTACTAAAGTTGGGGAATAAAATATGTTTCTAGATGATTAATGCAAATTATTGTAAAGTTATCTTCTGGCAGTCAATATACTAGCTTAAATCTAGTGCCTGTTAGCTTATTTGGAAGGCTAGTAGGAAGATTTCTGCTACTACTTACAGCAACTCCTCTCCACCCCAAGTTTATTTTCACAAAGTAATACAATATTCATCTATATTATTTTGAATCCTCTCCCTTTCTTAATTCTTTTATGTGAGCCACAGTAGTATTAAAAATAATTCAGGTAAGAAAATGAATAGATTTTTTTTTTTAATAATGTTCTTTCCTCATTGATGGATTCTTTCTTGGTTCTTGAGTCCTGACAATATTTGTGGTCAAAGTTAACTTGCTTTGGTACTTCTAAGTATAAAAATATTAATGTAGTGGAAACTGTCTTGACTTTTTTTAATCTTGGATAAAAATCTAGTGAGCTAATACAAGTTTCATCATTCTGACTTAAGTGAGCTTTATACTGGATCTTTCATGACTGCAGCTGTATTGGATTAATTTGCTACTAGGTTTACTGTAATGATGTAGCAGTTTGAAAAAATATATTTTGCTGAACAGTAATAAAAATAGAGTAGTAAATGCAAAGTGAATAGTACAACTCTCAAAAGAACTGTTAAACCTAAAATTTCCAAGAATTACATGTTTTCTCTAAGAATTTGCAAGTTATATACCATGTCTTCCTGAAAGAAGTAGCAGATCACCTGAATCACTCAGATTACCAGAAAGTATCTGAATACGGCATATATCCAGTTGGTAAATGTGGTTTGCTTAGCTTATGCATCCCTGTTACAGCTCGACTTAAGCACTTCCAGCAGGAATGTAGCGAGTGTGATGGAACACAGGTGTGATCTGTCCGTCTTTACCACGTGACTGTGCTTGTCTGTAGGATGGTGTTCAGACTTTTGGTGTATGTTCAGGTGTTTGGTATACATTAATCAGCCCATAGAATAAGAATCTTCTTTACCTACCTCTGGTATTATTCCAGTGCCAATTTACTCCCTCAGTGTGTCCTGCTTGGAATGAAGTTCAGCACAGATCTGTCTGTGCTGCTGTCTGTGCTGTACTCCTCTATCCTTTCCTTCCCACAAAGGAAACAGGAACTACATCTGTGCTTACATAGAGCATTATGCTTTCTTCAGCTGAAAAAAAAAAAGACTTTTGGGGAAACAGTGGTATTTGAGCAAAAGGGAGGACAATTTCTGATTTTTTTTTTTTTTTAATGCTTTTTTTTTTTTTTTTTTAAGGAAACTTCAAACACAGCAGAGCAGGAACTACGCAGAGAAGTTGAAGATCTGAAGCTTCGTCTGCAAATGGCTGCTGATCACTACAAGGAAAAATTCAAAGAATGTCAAAAACTTCAAAAACAAGTAAACAAGTTTACAGAACAGGCAGTGAGTAGAATGGGAGAAATTGCACTTGCTTTTTGTAACTTTTCAGCAACTATTTAATTTCCTTCTGCAAAAATAATTGCTTTTAAAAAGGATTAATATGCAGTAAACAATAGCTTTTTAATTTATCATTTTCTTCCATAAAGCTAAATTACTTCTATGATTCTTTTTAGATAGTTGACAAAACCAAGTGTAGAATTTATAGTAACTGATATATGTGGAAAGCTAAGAGTTTGGATGAACCTATAAGCCTAACGTTGTTCAAGGAAAAGTTTTGAAACTGAAACAGAGAAAAATCCATAATTACTACCCCTATTCAGTAACACTACCACCAAAAAAAAAACCCCAAACCCAAAAGTGGGGGAAATTGAGAACTTGGAGGAGGATTTCAAAGTGAAGTGGGGAGGAAGTTTTCACAACACAATATATAGCTGTATTCCATATCTTATTTTGTATTCTTACCACTCTTCTAAGCTTTGCTCCATAAACAAATGAGGCTTTTGCAGTGGTGATGTGAGTCTTATGCCACCTAGTAACTGAACCTGTTGGCAAATTTCAAACAGATTTGAGAGCATAGTTCTTCAGAATATTGTGAAAATTAGCGACTGAGTTGGTGAGGAGCTTAAGTGGGGAAAAAGTGTATGAGCAATGGCAAGATGTACAAATATTAATTCACAAGACTTGCATATTTCTGCTGTCCACAGAACAAATGGGGTAGTTACCCAGCTTTGATCCACAGATTACTTTAAAAAGTTGTCTTCTCATCCAGAAGGTCAATGGTGAATGAGGTGCCATATCAGAACACCCGTGGCTTTTCCTTAAAACTCTTAAAAATCTTCCACATCTTTGGCTATGTTGTACATCTGATAACAAACATCAAATTTCACTACTTTAACACTGAAGTCCAGCACTCATTAGTAATACAGACTCCATTTTCTAATGAAATATTAGACTTAAGATGATGGATTTAAGTGTAACTGATTCTCTAGAAAATGAGATTTTCCTAATAACTTGCATAGAAATAACTGTTTCTAGGGAAAAAGAACTTTATAATGTAGTATTATAAAAATCATAGTCTTAGGCAATTTCAGTGTTAATAGAATTAAATGTGTTTGCCTATTTATTATTACCGCCTGCTTTAATAATCATGGAGGAGATGATAGCGCAAGATATATGTTACTTTGTGCTTTGCCTTTCATTTAATTAAATACCAAACCAAAATTTCTTTTCACAAAGAAAATTGCAGGGCATCAGCAGAAACTGACAGATGCATCTAACATTGAGACAACTACTGCCATCATTACAGACAAAAAGTTGTCTGCATCTCCAGGTATCAACAGCTTAAATTTTGTCTATTTGTTCCAGCCTGAGAGTGATATCTATGTGAAGTAGTCCCTAATAGTATATATAGTATAAAGTAGGTGAATTTGTTCTGTTTTAGTTAAAGCAGTGATTAGAAATGTGAAAATTCATCCAAAAATCTTGTGTCTTTTTTCAAGTGGTAACGTTCATAAATAACATCGTGTATCTTTTCAAAGCAATTCAGTTGATATTTGTTAATGTCAGTAGAACTGAACTTGAATTTCAGCTTGATAGTTAACACAGAGCCCATAATAAATTCATTGGGGGGAAAAAAAAATGCTCCCCAAATATGCAAATTGTGTACAATAGCATGGTAATTCTGCAGTCCTGTTACAGTGACTATCCACCGTAGCATTCTACTGTAAAATCAAATCCACTGAAAAGTTAAGATTGTGTGATGGCAAGGTCAAGTCTATAGGCTATTCTTATGATTTATAGGCAATAGTGGTTTATTAGAAGATATTTAACTAGGTTTTAATTTTTAGGAACTATTAAGTTTTTACAAAACTAATCTTCTAAAACATATACATATAATAGGTTAAAACTAAGCCTGGTTTATTATTCAATCTAAACTGATAAATGCCAGTAAATGCTGACTAATTTTGTTTGTGTTACTTTATAATTCACACATTCTTTCTGCCTATAGAGACTATGGATTGTAATTTCTGTCAGTTTCCTCTGGTCTTAAGTAAATACAAGTGTTTCCTAAAACAAATAAAATCCCAGCAAGCTCAGTTAAAGTATGTGATGGAATGAAGCAGATTGCTGAGGCATTTAATGTCTTTATGAAAGAATAAAATATCTAGCATGATATTGTAACGTATTTATTCTGGTATTTACTTTCTGGGGAGCTAAGGGGAGAGGTGTTTGTCTGTTTGGTGTTTTTTTTTCTTTTCTCCATTGGCCTTTGTAATATGTATGTGTATATTTATGTTAATCTTCAGGGTGTGAGAGAAGTGAACACAGACATGCCAGTATGACTGCTGATCTTATGTATCACTAGCCACATGATACTGATTGTCTCTGATTAACTGTTTGCTTGGATAACATGGAGCATTCTGTTCTTCATGCACTGTCAAATTTGGCCTGTCATCTCTCTTATGCAGACTTTATGGAACAAAAAGTCAATATTCTTATTTTTTTTTTTCAATGTTTGCAGTTAGCCCCCTTTCATCTGACATAGTTTCGGAATTCATGGTAAAGGAGCAAGTACGTGAAATGAATAAAGAAATTGCTGAGAAAACAGAGAAGTATAAGAAATGCAAGCAAATGTTGGCAGTAAGTAAATGGCTGCTTTGGAAAGCTGAACAGAAAGTAGCTTTAGGTGCTAAGTCTTAAAACCATAAAGCCTGCCCAGCTGAGTTGCCGTGCTTGTTTGTGTGATAGACTATGATTATGGTAGAAATCTTAACATTAGAAAGCACATTTTTATAAAGTCAGCTCTTGATTACCTGTGGTGTTGGAGAGTCCAGACAGGGGCCCCGCAGGAAAACCCAAATGTGGTAAAACAAATGAACATACTTCCATGCTTAAGGTTTTGAATACTATTTTTGTTTTTTGCATTGTATTTGAAGTGTAATTACTTTTATAAATCAGATACAGCATGTTGCTATAAGCCAGCTGATGTCTGGAACAAGTATAGCAGTGTTTATCTGATAGGCTGTTCAAGTGTCATAACTCCTCCAAATCTTGGGCTTTTACAGTGTTTTGATGTTTGAGTGGGTGCTGCCTACCAGCTTGGGCCTGTCAGCCATTCGTAAAGGCATTTATATGATTCTCTGGACCAAAGTTGGCAGCAGTAGTGCTGCAGCCACAACAGTAATACTCTTCAAATATTAATACCTGTCAGTCCTAATTTGATTTTCATTTAACCAGTTTGGGTGTATGTATCATGGAGTATTGCATCAGTGATGCTGGTGAAAAGTTGACTGTTCTAGAATGGTTTAAGAAATACTTTCTGAGTGTTGTCTTGTCTCCGTTCGTTTGTTTGCTTGTTCTTTGAGGATTAAAAAAAATAACATTGATCAACATTATGAAGTCAGAACAGTTAGAATTAAGATTAGAATAAAAAAACTCTGATGTTTCCTCTACTTCAGTATGTTTTGTTCTCAAAGAGTCATAATACATTTACAAACTGACATGAACTCAGCTTGTCATCTTGTTTCTCTTATTTAGCACAATGACATTATTCTATTTTAATGTACTCTCCAGGATGTAACAACTGTCATGTAATTTTGCTCATTACCCTGTCTATGGAGAGCCTAACACATAGCTTCGGCTGGCTCTTTCTACTATAGGGGTGCTTGAGGAAAGCTTTGCCCTTGACCTTCTGGATGAAAGATATTTTAGATTGTAAAAGTTGCACAGGGAAAGGCTTTGTGTTGAAGTGAGCCACTTGAAAGGGTGATCATTATTACAGTGTAATATTAGGAGACAAAGAAACCTGAAACTTTGAAGCTAAAGAGGAATATCAGCTTGTTGAAAACTCAGGCAAGAAAAATACATGTATTGAACGTGATTTGTACCTTGTTCAGTGGTGCTGTCTTCTTCATAGTCTTGAGTCAGGCTTGATTTCTTGAGAAAGCCATTTGTAAATGCTCTCATTCTAAAAGCGTGGTATTATACAGTGTCAGTATACAATTATATATTGTTGGGGACAGGAGGAGAAAACTCTTAAAATTATAAATATTTAATGGCATGTTATAAACTACTTTAGGACGAGAAGATGAAGTGCAGTGTTTATGCTGATGAATTAGCTAAACTGGAGATGAAATGGAAAGAACAAGTGAAAATCAATGAGGGTATAAAATTACAGCTGGCTGCAATGGAGGATCAGTACAAAGTAAGTTACAGATTTTGTTTATGACAGTGAATGGTATCCTACTCTTAACATAGTTGTTCATTTCTTCTAATTCAAATAATGAAGAGTTTTAATGGGGAAAAACCACTATATGTACTTTTGCTGTAAATAGAAATTATGTTTTGCACTTGTAGAAACAACACAGTCTCGTAATGCATTTTTTAAAGTAAGACAGATCTGCTAATTATGTTACCAAATGGCTATCAGTCTTTTAATGTTGTGGATCTAGACAAACCTCTAAATTACATTGGTCTTGTTTTACAGGAAAAAAAAGGGGCAGAGTGTTCTAATTTCCTGTTGCGTACTATAATACTAACAGGAGTATCGATTGGCGTGTTTGTCCAAAATCTTCATACTGCATGCTGCATTAACAGTAGTAGTAGTATCAGCTAATGCATTTTAGCTGAATTAATGAGATACAACTTGAGTGGTATATTGTTTTTAAAATTATCAGGAGAGAAATACTTTAATTTGGAGAATCTCAGCTACAGTCTTAGTAGAGTGGTACAATACGTGCACCAGAAATTCAAGCATAATGGACAGCTTTAGCTTATGCGGGCCTTAATCTTTGAGGTCATGTGATAGTAATACTTATGTTGAAGTGTCTTTTTAGGTCAACAAGGGCAAAATAAGAGCAACAAATTTCCATAAGACTAGCTTTCATGGCTGTTTTCAGTCTAATGGTGATAGCGTATTTGTTAGGATAGAATATTCTCTGCCCATTTTTGCCCATTGTGGTGAACAGAGATTAAATTGAAATGTGACTTTATCAGTTCTAGTAGGAATGCCCTCCCATTAGAAATTACAACACTTTTTTTTAAATAAAATACTGTGTTACTGTACAGATCACTTCATCACTCTGTAGGCTGTGCTGTCCTTTTTTGACACTTTTCAAAGCTCTAATTTCAATTTTACAACATGCATTACTCTTTCCAATTTATTTAATTTTATTAATTAACAGTGATTGGTTGCCATGCATAATCTAATGTATAACAAGTTTGTTTTTAACTTCTCCATGGCATGAGTAATAAATAAAGATGAGCTTTTCTTCCCAGTTGATGGATTTCTCTCTGTTGACCTGAACTAGGAGAAGGAATTTCAGAATTAAAAAAAAAAAAAGGAAAAAAAAAGATATATAACTGTGCAGAGTATTGAGTTTATATGCTAGGAATACAAGTGGAGAGGCAGCTTCCAAAGTAACTAAAACCCAAATAAAATAGCCCTTTGTAGAGAAAGATTATTTAAATAATCATTTTGAAGCAAGGAGGAATCCTGGAAGAATTGCATAATGTGTCAGTTGCATCTCCTGCCGGAGCACCCAACAGAGAGACAAGGTAGATGTTTGTGAAATGAATTTAGTGTCTTTGAGGTAAAAGGAGATTTTGATTCTCTCAGTTCTGAGGTGGCACATAAGAGCTGGAGAGAAGTGAATGAAATAAATCACTGAAATGCTTGACAAGGGATTCCTTTAGAAATGGTGAGATGAGACTTGCAAACCTGCAGCTTTTTCTGGGCAGTGGTGTCCCTCCTGCCATTAGTATTGCTGACACTATGACACTTCTGGTTTTTAACCTAGGACTTTATCATTCCACAACTGTTCTCTGAAAACTGGCAAGAAAAGGCTACTAATGTACATCTGTTATCCAGCAGATAAACTTTGGGAGAATTGTTGTTTTTGATTTGTAGTAGTACTAGATGTTGCATGTAACTACAGCAGACAAAATAATTTCCATATGAAAATGATGAAGTTAAGATGAACTTAATTAATGAAGTTTATGTTTTCACAATATAACATGCAGGGTTAATATTCACTAATACAGGGACCATAAACTTCTTTTCATATAGGTTCAGCTGGCGGAAAAAGAGAGACGAATAAGGGAACTGGCATCACAGTTGGAACTCTTTAGCAGTGAGAAGGTATTGTATATAACAAGATTCCTGTTAAATTTTGTAAATTAACACTTGTGAGGCTCTTTGGCTTGAGGAATTGCAATTTATTTTTCAGTGAGAATTTGTTTACTTTTTAAACATACTTTTCCATGTTTGAATGTTTTGCCAAAATGAATTAGCATTTTGAACTACAGCTTCTGTTAATGATACTAATGTAGTTTTTAAAAAATAATATACACCATAGTATAACATTTTCCAAAGGATGAGTCAGTTTTGGCAAATGCTGTCATTTATTGTTCTGTAATAGTGTTCTAGAATATTTTCTACATATAGTCTAATAAAAATGTGATGGTGTCAAAAATTTTCTTTGTTCCTGTCTAGAATGATGTTCCATCCAGAATCTGAAATAACTATTTCTGTTTGCAGAGAGGGATTACTCTGTGTAAATTAATAATCTGAAATTGCAGCTAACTGTGCAGTTCACGGAACACAGGAACTCCTACCAGTTTTTGTCCTACATTCCTTTCTCATCTCAGCAGCATCACTGTTTTTCTACCAAGTTTTCAGTGAATTTCCAGCCTCCTTCCTGCTTTACTCCTCTGTATCTCCTACGGAAAGAGCTTCAGACCTGTTGTGTCTAGAAGCTGATAACAGTTTAGTGCATGTGCTGCTTGGCCAAATAGAAAAGATTATTATTGAGCTTATGCCTCAGCCTTTCTGCCCTCTAAGGGAGCATCAGTTAACAAAAGTTGCAGGAATTTCATTTATTTGAGTCAAGACTCTCTCCCCAATACATTCAGGAGTTACTGGCTGACAGGCAGCATAATTAATAAACTTTATTTCCTTTGGGGTCCTGGTGTGAGACATGAATGATACATACCTAGCTTGACAGTTTATTTTTTCCATCATTGGCTAGGATTATTTTTGCTCTTATCCAGTGTTGTCCTATAACTAGAGATGTAGACATTTCAACAGTATAAACCCCAGGTTTTTCATGATGTGTGCATACAACCAAATCCTTTTGACACCTGCTGTTCTCTTATTGACTGCTTGTAATAATAAGAGCAGCTTGACATGTGACAGTAGTGACTTGGTAAACTACAACTGGACAAATATCTTTATCAGAAAAGAAAGATAAAAAGTACTCTCATTTTTAAAATAGATGGTAGAAAATGGACTTGCTGCTTTCGAGAGTTCACTGTCTAATCAAATTCTTTACCATTGCTGTTAAACCAGACATTCTGAAATACTGATACTAATGTTCTAATGTTGGAAGTACCTCTGAGGTCTTATATGACAATGAATCAAAGCTAGGTTTTACTGAAAAGTGAAATAATAATGTGTCTTATTACATTAAGATAGTATTGTATGATATTGTGGAAAAGTTAGGATTGCTCAGATTACTTAAAAAATCCAGTGTGAACAGGTACTTAGTAAAAACAGGAATTTGTGTACTGAAAAATTGAAATTAAACTAATTTCAGATTAAGCTAGTTAAGTGTTTTGTAAAATTATGGATTCTCAAGTAGTTGGTGTTTAATTTTTTTTTTTAACCAAAGATATAATTTTTAATAGATCTGTCTCATATTTTTCTAATTCAAAAGAAAGCAAAATGAAAGTTGAGTTTTGATGAATCTAGTTTAGCTGGAGGGAGTAATTCTAAACACCACACATAAGAAGGAGAACAACTGTAATAATAATGTATAGAGCTTATTAAAGCTTAGAACTTTGTCTACCAAATTTATAGATATTTGCATTACAAAGAAGAATTGGTGCCTTGCTAGACTGGAACCATGATTTAAAAGGTTAAGCGTAGAATAGTAAACAGCTTTTCAATTTATACTCCATTATCAGTGTTTGTTTATAAATGTCACCAAATATAGTATGCTAAAAATGTTCATTTGCTGTTTCTTCAACTCTGTAGAATTACTTGGTTTCTGTTTTATTTACACACTTATCTAGCCTTTGATTTATTTATTTGTTTATTTATTTATTTTTACTCAGTCTCTACCCTAGCTGTCCAACTTCTGGCTAAGGCTGTTTTACAGCACCTTTTATAGCCACTTTGATCTATGTTCTGTTTTAATCTTATGTAATGTTAAAATTGAAGTGTTAATACCACTGTCTCTTATTCTAAACTGCTTCCATATTGCAGAAGAAATTGATTTTTAAAAGGAAAATCTTAATTTCACTGATGATTAATTGTTCCTGCTTTTTTGTATTGGATAAACATTAATTATTTAGATTTTACACACTGACTAGAACTTTTAAGATGTAATCCAAACCATTTAACCATTTCAATCACATGCTATTTAGTCTCTAAATCTAAAGTAACGCTAGCATAGTGTTATATCATATCTACAGGAGGATATTTTATTTGGAGGGTGTGAGGCAGAAATTATGTTGTTCTGTATGAGAAGGTTTTTCAGAAAGAAAATAAACACTACTGTTTTTATGGACAGTGCTTCAAAAAGATAACTTTCTGTAAGCTGCCTTACCATTTGTAGGTACCACTTTTTTCCTTTTTGAAACAGACTTTATCATTTTGCTGTTGGAGTCCAAACCCTTGTATGTCTGAAACCCGATAGTACGTATGTAACAATAAGTGTATAATCTCAATCTTTTCCCATTTGAGTGATGTTTTGTTTTCAGGGTTGTTATTGCTACTTGATTTTTCTTTTTTGTACTCTAACAGGTGGAAATTTACCTGTTTTTAAGAAAAATACATTGAGTTGTTCTTTTTAATAACTGAGACATTTTACTTCTCATGTAGTTAAATTGTTTTTGGTATGTATGGTATATCTGGCACTAGAGCAAGCTGAAAGGATGGAGTGGGAAGCTTAGCAGATGTATTTTTAAAAACAAATCTATTTCATGAAAGTGTCAAACTTTACTAGGACTCCATAGGTTAATTACATTTTAAACTTTGCATTATTTAGGAACTTGGCAGGACACCAGGAAATCAAGCTGGAAGGGTGATGGAAGGACAGATTTCACAACAGACGTTACATTTTCGCAACCCGTATTCTGAGGAAAATGGACCAGTTCCCGCAGTGCCAAGCAGACTGCCAGTATTGCAATATGGAAACCCTTATGCAATTCAGGAGAGAAGAGGTAAGTAAATTCCACTGCCCCCACCCCAATATAGTTTGTCCCTCACTGTTTGAAAAGCAGTGGCTCATTTAATGCAGGTTAAGTACCAGTGATCTTTATGCTGGCATACAGAGCCTTTATTGATTGATGAGAACTTAATAAAGTGCCTTTATTTTACTGGTGAGAATCAATAAGGTAAACAAAGTTTTAAAGAAATACCTTTTGAAAAAGGTGATTTCTCTTCTATTGTTTTGTATTATCTTAAAAAATGTGCTTAAGTCTTGATTTTTAAATGTAAGGTAGAACATCTGTAATCTCAAAATATAAAATGTTCTGAACAAAGATGTTCTAATTAATTTTTCTTCAGATGGAGCAGATGGCGCTTTTAATCCTGATGAGATCCAAAGACCACCTGTTAGAACTTCCTTTTGGGAGCTGGAAGATGATGTGGTGTGTAGTCAGCCTTCACGCAATCTTAGTCGGCCTGACGGTTTGGAAGATCCTGAGGATAGCAATGCAAGTTTTTAATTAATTTTTCTTTCCTTGATATGTTTACTAATGAGTAATCAAGGGTTGCACGTAGGTTTTTAGTATCTGATAAGACTGATTTATTGTTATGTAAATCCAGAATTGATTTTTCTTTTCCCTTAACAGGGTTTTTAGATTAATATTCTTGCTTTGAAGAGAAAACTCCGCACATCAATTGATGATAATATACTTGTTCCCCTAGTCTTCTGAGTCACTGACAGCTTATTCTGGTGTTAGGACAGTAGCTTCTTAATCTTTTTAAATACTAAAGTAGAAAAATCCAAGTAATCTCAACTCTTTCTGATTTTTCTCTCCTGTGTGGTAGAATGAGGGCTCAAGATGTAGCCATGTCTTACTGATTTTATAATTTGTATGTAGGAACTAAATTTTAACAGAACAAATAAAAATTTAAAGGATTCTGATACCAGTATTTTCAGTTAAATGCTGAATGAAAATTCGTATCATATTAGATGCTTCATTTTAATTTATTAATCTTTTGTTCTATCTTTTGCAAATCTGTGTTTATTAATTTCCATTTTAAATGTTTTTTACTTAGACATGTATTTGGAAGAGCTAGTTAACTGTTGTCTGAAGCTGATTAAAGAGAAAGTGACATTCTCACTGATTTCTTTTTAGGGCTTTATGCTTTAAGTGGAAACTGGTTAGCTTTTCTTCTTAATACAGTTCACTTGCACATTCCAGTATAAAAAAATATTTCAGTAAATTGGCTTCTGTAATAATTTGGACTATATGTCTTCATTTGAACAAGAACAGACTTATTACTCTTCCTTATTCTGAGTACTCTTGCACCTTTAAAAATATTAAACAAGAAATACCTTTCTGCAAAGTATTGTGCTCTTTGCAAGTACAGTGGTATCATGACCCGTTTCTCATTTAGTCTAGTTTGCCACATTTAATTGCTATTAACCTTTGGAGAAACTGATCAGTGTTCAGACAGGCATGATTTTAGCCCTAGTGCTCAGCACCTGTAATGGAGAAAAATGTATTTCTCCCTCCTACCTTTTGCCCCCAATGTCCATTACTGTGAATAATTAGAGAAACTGTCAGAACTTTTGCAGCCTGTTTGAGGTCTAGAATGTGAGCTTAATGCTGTTGCCCACCTTTACTTCACATTTTGCCTATTTAATCTGATCATTCTTGACGTAGATATTACATATGACAAGCTCTTCTCTTCTTTAGTCATCTACTTCAGTTTAATTAGCAGGGTGTTCTTTCTGATCTATGTGCTTTGCCCTCTTGCAAACCCAAGAGAAACAGTGCTAGAGTCTTGTGCTCATTTGCTGACACAGCTTGGATTTTTGTAATGAGATGGAATATAACAGGCTTAAATAAAGTTCAGCTTGAGAAAAGATGCCTTGAAATAAAATAATTTATATCTTTTTTTCTTTCAAATAAGAATCAATTGGTTGCTCCTCCCAAAAATAGACTGTGTAGTGTACAAATTTACATGGAAATGAGTGGTTGCAAGAATCTTTCTAGAGAGACTTAGATATGCCAAAGATAAAACCGTTCTAATGCAATATTTAAATAAATGACCAAGGAAAACTTCCATATATGTAAGTGTTTCATTATAAAGGAGAGCCTATCATTTGTGCAGAAGAAATAGCCAATATAAAATCATAAATGTGAGGAGATTAGTTTGTTGTACTGGTTTGTAAAATAAGCTGTTTAAGATGTAATCCTATGTATTTTTAAACCAGTAAGATATAGAGCCTGTTGTTGGAAAAGGATTCCCTCCCAGAAGAAAAGGATTGGTAGTCTTGCTGCTTTGTTTAAAATCCATACCTCTGTATGGACTTCTGTCATCTTCCTCTCCACATTCCTGTTACTGTACATTATATTAGTTTAAGAACTTGAGGGTGTTGTAACTCGCTTCCACCTCCTAATGACTGTTTTGGTGGTGGTTTGCCTATGATGATGAACATGTCTGCATTATGTATTTAAGATGATACATCTTTGAGACCCTGGGCCAATATTATGATATGTAGGCGAATGAAGTAGAGGTTGTATACCACACGCTCTACACAGACTTTTCAGGTACAACTAAAACAGGCTTTTTCAGTCTATAAGGTGAGAGTAGGGAAGTGTGTACGTGCGTGTGACTTACTTCTACAGAATGAAGGTTGGAAAGGGCACCTCCTTTCCTTAAGGGTGTTTGTCTTGCCTAAGGAATAGGTCAGCAAACTATGAGGGGATCTAGCAAGTCAAACTTACCTGCTGTAGGTGCTGCTTACATTCCTGCGCAGTTGAGTAACTTCATAAACAATCTAGATGACAGTGGAAAAAACTTGAATGCTTCTCCCAGAAGTGTTTTCTGGACAGGGAATTGGGTAGAATTGCTTCAAACCTACAAACTACGTCTCTGCAGCTGTTATTACCTTAACCTTCTTTTATTGTAAATGTTGAGTTACTCTATTTCCAACTGTAACGTCTTCCTCAGCACCGGGGAAAGAATCTGGTGTGTGTGCATTTGTCCATTTACAAGTTTCCACTCTGCACGTTGGTAGTCCTTGAGTTTTAAAACCTTTGCCTTCATTGGACCATTCCAGCACTGAAACAACTCATGCAGCATTATTTGTGCTGTGAATTGATGTAGGTGGAGTACCAGTTTTCTGTTTGTCTGTACTCTGGTATCTGCTCAAAACAGAATTAACTTTTAGTTTGTTTGGATTTTTATTTTACCTTCTTGCCCTCATGTTTTATTTCTTTCTGGATATTGTTTTTGCTTTCTTCTGCTGACTTCAGCCGTGTTTGATGTGTGGTAAGGGTGTTAGACACTGACTTCCTACAGGTTTTTTGACAATTGCTTGGGAGAAGAGAGAGACCTTAATAAATTTGTGTTTTAACAGGCAGCTGGCTAATCAGCCTGAATATGGCTCTAAACTGGTCACTAATCCAACTAAACAGGAAGAGAACATGAGATGGTGTGGGGAAGAGGTGTGTTAGGGGGAATGCAAGACAAATCCAGGGAAAGTCAGGACTCATTAGTTCTCTTTTTTGTGGTAAAACTTGATTCTTTTACTTGAACATTTGGCCTAGTGAGGCAGGATTTTTGCATGGCCTTATAGTACTGGGTGGGTCTACGGTGTGTAGTATTCCCATGCATAGAAGGGAAGACATCACAGGCACCCTAAACTCACTTTAAGAGGATTATTTTCATGCTAAAGTTATGCACTTATTATTTACGTGGGGATGCTTCTATACCTGCAACTAATGATTTGATCTTCAGTTCCGTGGAGTACAGCTGCTATCTTTGTATTCCTCTACGAAGTAATTTTGTCTTTCCTACTGGTAAGCTACAAAATTCTCAGGCTTATGCTTGAGATGATCCTTCTGCTGAGGCATTTGCTCCTAGTGTGACCTGGATTTAATTTCCTCATTCCTGAAGATGAATGCTATTTGCTTTTACTCCAAGTGTAGTAGGCTTCCCTTTCTACTTCATACTTCATTTGGTTACTGGCCATTATCTTGAGTAGCAATATAAGGTCAGGAGATGGTGACAATCCACCTATACTGAAACTTGTGCTGCCTTTACTGTCTTCAGTTACTCTGAGTTGTAGACTAAGTAAGGATACATCTGCAAATAGATCAGAATCTGTTTAATGTTGCTGTTGTGTTCTGATTTTGTTTCTTTCAAAATCTTTTTCCTTGGGAATGGGTGCTTCATGTATTTGGCTGATGTGAAAAAACATCAGTTTTGTATGACTTGAAGACTTTCTGGAATTCTTCATAGCATTGGCTTTTGGAACTCTTAGGCCAATTAAACAGTGATTTCTGAGAGGGATAAGCTGGTCTGCGTTAATCACGCCAGATGAGCACACACAGAGTGGTGATTTACTGTAGAATAGTTGACTTGCCACAAGTTCCTGCTGTCATCTGCTCAGCACTAACTTTCCATTTGCTCATGTTTCCATAATGGACCAAAATGTAATAATTTGGAGCAAATAATTTCTAGAAGCAGGTACGTACAGGAGAGGGCCATAAACAAAACATACATATATATGTATTTAATACTAATGTGTGAGTTTTAGAAATGCCGTCCTGATTACTGTTGGCAGTAAGCCCAGAATAACTATCCTGAGACTCCTAAACAATGTTGTTAGTCACAGTAAATTTGGGGGGTGGGAGGTGTAGCTTTTGGCAACTGACAACCAGGTCAGGATATTTTTTTAGATTAATGCAGAATGGCCTTTCTTCTGGCAAAATCCCACTCACTACACCTCGTTAGCATGATCTTACCTTGGCAGCCAGTTACTGCCTTTTGTACAAGATAGACATAAAAGGAGCAGCTGATACCCAGGTAGCTCTGGGGCAACCAGCCTGTTTGCAGCGAGGTGGAGAGACCTGAAAGAGTTTGCTTGGTTTCACTCACACAGCAGAGCTGAATCTGAGAATTAAAATGTATGTGCTCTTCTTTCCAGATTACCTGCACTAGAGGTTAGTGGTGTGGCTGTTCATCTATTGTTTACAGCTTAAGATAGGTGTCACGTCACTCGCTGTCGTGTTAAAATCATCTGTAGAAATCAGAGATGGGGGTTGTTCAAGTCTGTGGCTTTAGTACAGTGTCACACAGCTTTGTTTCCAATTTCTGTTTGCCAGTCTTCAAACTAATTACATGAGCTTTTAATTGTAACATGAAAGCAGTACTTACTACTTGAGACAAATTGGTTTATTTTGGTAAAACTAGGCATGTTGCACTTGTTTCTGACTGTTTCTGGCTTTCCCTTCTTCTTCTTTTAGTAGCAAACTCCTTTTTACCATGCTTTATTGTAATACTGTATTTATCTTTGATCCACGTAATCTGTGGAACTCATTGTGGCAGTTTTAAAGAGTCAGAGTTACAGTCCAGTGGTTAATAGTTATGTCATGTCATTAAAGGCATCCTTCGTAATTTGTGAATCTAGACATCCAAATTTCTGAACGCAGAAGGCCTGGCATTTGTTGTGCTGCGTAACTGCAGTGCCAGCCTGTGGGTACATGATAGCAGGCTTTTCGTGAGGACCTGAGGCCACGTATCAACTGTGTTACATCACTGCAGAGCGCTGTAGAGGTCTTGGACTAAGTATGTGGAGCCAGGTCCCCAGACATCAGTCTGAAGTGCAAGGAAGCTGGCTCTGGGTCTACAGGAAGGGCAGATTAAACTCTCCCTTTCTCAAAATACAGAGTATGGGCTTCCATCCAGATAACTTGGATACTTGACCATGGGGTCTTCAGAGTAAGCTGCTGCCTGTGCTTAAAATACAGCATAGGCTGAGCCATTGAGACCTGGCCTCCCAACAGGTATTGTCAAACCCTCTGTAAAGCAGCTTCAGCTAGCCTTCTCATTTCAGCTGTGCAGTCCTCAGGGGATGCTTTGTTTTATCATGGGAGAGTGATGGGTTTTTAAATGTCAGGTTGAAAAGCGTTTGTACCATAATTTGTAAGAATGAAGAAGGTCTCATTGGTTATCCTGGCAGGAAGAAGCCAGGCACGAAGTGACTGTGAGGCAGTGTGAGTAAGATCTGTCCTCCCTTCATACAGTTCTTCCTTTTACAGGGTACGCTTTAGGAGTTTTGTCCATCTGAAATGACAGAAATGGAGCTGTCAGAGTCCAGTACAATGGGACATTGTCTGTGTTTTCCAGAAGTTCCAAGTTACCCCGGGGCAGTGCATGAGAATTTTTAGTGATTGGTGGTTGTGTACTGTTGAGTGTAACTTGTAATTACAATATCTGTGAAATACTCTCAGACTAAGAAAAGTTCTCGTTGTTACTGTTTGACCATTCTTTAATTAGACAGTAATTGAGGTATGCTCAATATAGATTTGCCTTCTTTTCTGGGTTAAGCATAACGAAAGAGTAAGAATTGATCCTTCTTTGTATACTTGGCCAAGAGCAGAAGTACACTGAAGAGAGAGACTTTCCATATCCTGAGAGCACGATATCAATGCATGTTTAGTATCGTTATTCTTACGTGATGCACAGGTCAGAACCTACTGTAGGGAACCCACACTAGGATTTTTACAGGTAATTGAACTGGGTCATGAGGAAGCTGTATCCTTAGGACATACTAAACGTTACTTTGCTGTCAGAAAAGCATTTTTTTAAGCTGTTAATAACTTGTGCTTGCCTTTGGTTGAAGCTAGTGCCTGCAGTGCAGCAATGCAGGACAGTGCACGTGTGCCCCTGGAGAGGAAAGCGTCCTACTGGTTTTCAAATCAGTCTTTTAAAAAGGAATGAGGAGGAATTACATTTGTATGTGGTAGGGTATCACACCTGCCAGAAACTCTAAGGAAGGACAAAAGATACAAACAATTTTATCTTACCAAGTGATGAGCAGTTACCCTAATGTGTTGGGGGGTTTTTTTGTGGTTTTTTTTTTTTCTTTTTTTTAAAGGGGTGTGTGTATGCAAAATACTGAACAAATAACTAGAGTAAATAATGTGGAAAACCCACCCAAAGCAAACTAAAAAACCCCACCCAACCTATTCACCTATTAAAGCTTTATATAAGGTAGACAAGCAGTGCTGATTTTTTAAAATAATTTTTTAAAATGGAAAACCTTTGTATAAATCAGTTTGCATTTTGTTGATCCTAGTTAAAATCTTCAGTTTCCTGTGAACTGTGGTAGTAGAGCAGAAATAGGGATGTGAGGAAGCTGATGCTAAAGCTGTCTACTTCTGCTGACACAGCTCTTGTAAATGGATGGAGGGGGCTGGTGAGGTCACTTCTGTTTGAAGAAGGTGTTACATGGACATACTTGATTTGCCACTCGGTACATTTCAATCTTTGTGTAACGTGTGCAAAAAGACTGAGAGGTTTCCTTTTCTGATAGGGAAATCTAAATTTCTGTGCCATTCTAATATTTGTGTGGAAGATGGATGAGTTCAGGAGTGAGTTGTGTGTTCTCTCACAGTTGGGCATTCAGGCCAGTGGTTTCTCTCAGGTCTGTGAAGACCTTTTCTGCAAGTTGAGTCTTGTGGAATGCGTTAATAATTTTGAACGGGAAGAGAGACCCATCTGAGTCACGTTGGCAACAAAATTTTGGTTAATGCCCTTATATGCCAAGTTAACATTTAGCACTGGTAAATCCTGACTCCTTACTCAACTAAAATTAATAACCCCTAATATAATGAATAACCTGTGCATTGGTCATGGGGTCTGCTCATCTGTCCTAAGCAAAGCTTACTTCAGGAATTTGAGGCTGAAGAGCCCTTTCACCAGACAAGTACCTTGTCTACCTCCTCATTTGTAACCAAGTATTAATAAGTGCTGTGGCAAAAAAGCCTGTGTTCGGGATGTGACTGAGTGACAAGCAGTAAAGAATTACAAGGAGGTATTTTCTAAGGATTTAATTAGGCCTGTGTTTGTGGTGGAACTTTTTTGAAGGAAGATGCACGTTCATTTTCTCACATAAGTCCTGGTCTGCTTACAGTCAGCTACTCAGCACATTTGTCATGTTTTTGGCACTATATAAGCTGTAGCATTGTAGCACAAGAGTACTTCAAAAAGTTTTTCTTTAATACTTACATCCTATCTCTTTTGTGACAAAAGGAACAAATAATATTTTAAAACCCATGTGCCCTTTTTACAGCAGGTGCAAAGCAAGGAAGTTAGACAGGAAAATATGTCTGTTGCCAGCATCTGTCACAGCAAGCCCCACTAGCTGCTTAATGGAAACGTTAAATGGTTGAAACTAAACAGCTGTTGTCAGGAGAAGAAAAATACTGAGGGGATCTTCCTATCCTGCCCTGTTTCCGTTAACTGTTCATAAGGACAAGGCATGTTAGCCTAAAAATGAACTGTGTTTGAATAGTATGTATGCCGTTATATATAGTCCCTTGCACATCCAGTTTTGAAGATCAGCTAAATAATTCATAATTCTTGCCTGTGAGGCATCTTTGAGATGAGAAGGAAAATTATTTAGGAGATGGGGTTTCAAAAATCTTGCAGAATTTACTTGTTTTCCTACCTTGAGTAGGTTTTGTGCTGTTATGTAATTGCAGAATAGAACCAAGATGCTGTATAATAGTTTGTTACTGCACAAAGAATGGGTTTACACACACAGTTCTGATTCTTATTCCTTCTCCTGTGGTTTATTTTCCTTTTGTGCCTTTTTTTTTCTTCCCCTAATTGTGTTTGCTTACATCACTGTGCTTATTTAAATCTTAATTCCTAATAATGTCATCACAGAATAAAAAAACCCACCCAAACCTCTCCAAAGCGAAGGGCTCTGACTGCTTGCTCTGAAGGGAACTCTCAGAATCCAGTCACCGTAGGCGTTCTTCATTTTTCTGCTTGAGGATTTCCCAGTGCAGGCTGGTTTCTTTCTAAGGGGCAGCGTATTCCCAAGGCCAACCTGCCTTCCTAACTCGGGAGAAGCTCTGAAGCAAACCTGCTTGTCCATCAGCAGAGCGACTGATCCTCATCAGCGCCACTGCTGCTATGGATGTGCTGTTAGTGTCGGTGCAGGCAGAGCACCCTGGCAGGGCTGAGGGCAGGAAGCAGCCGGACAGGACAGGGCGCTCGAGCTGTGGTGCCTGACGGCAGCGCGGAACACGCTTGGCTGGCGAGAGCAGCGCAGGCAGATCACTCAGAACTGCCCGTTGGGAGGCAAGCCTGTGAATCGAAATCAGCGTCTCTTTTTTTCCCTTGCTGAAATGTAAATGGATGGATTTTTTAAAGTCTGACTTGACATTCTATTGTCTGGAATTTATTTCTGAGCTCTAGCTCTTGGTAACGTGCTGTGGTGGTTTGTAGTGCGATGCCCCGTGTTCGCCTGAACACAGGTTCTTCTGTTCCGATTTATTGCTCAGGCACTCGCAGTGAGGTGACCTCAGTCCCTGTGTTGGCAGGAGCACTCTAGCAGTACGGGCACGGATTTCTGCTCTAGATACACGGCCCACAGGCACTCTGTGTGTAGCTTTTCATGTTCCTTAATCACGTCTCCCTTTTGTACACTGAAGTAAAACTTACACTACAGAGATTAAAAAATGAAAGGTAAATTCCATCTCTGTTTATGGTTGACAGCAAAAATGCATATGGAGGAGGAAAAAAAAAAGCTGTTTCTAGTGGGTATTATTTAAAGTTAAAATTATTTAAAATACTTCCTTTTTTTAAAAATAGGATGATGAAAACACTGTACCTTCTGCTCCTGATCCTCCCAGTCTTCTCTTGCATGAACGTGGAACAGGTTTCTGCTTTGATGCCAGGTAAATGTTGTCTTTTATTGGTTGTTAATGGCATGGGGAGGTTTCTGTGTAACTGGATTTTTTTACCCAAGGGTGGGGGATGGAGATTAAAAACTGTTAAGCATTTTCAGGTTTACAGTTACAATCAGGGAATACACTGTTGGGAAGACTATTTGTGTTACAACTTACTTTGACGGAATGTGTACTGGTCAGTAAATGAATGAATTGCTTTTGTTTTTTCCCCTCTCTTTCCAACCTAATTGTGAGCCTCGGTTTAGAGCTTTTATAAAGTGTTATGTTTGCTAAGAGCAAGCATTTATGAGCAGGGAGAGTGGTTTCCCATGAAACTGCTTGGCCATTAAGGCAGTCAGTAGATTTGTATTCAGTGGTAGCTGAGCTGGAATTATGTCAAAATCATGTAGCTTTTAAAATGCCAGGTGATTTTGGAATTCCTGTGTAAAACTACTTTCAGCAAAGACATTTAAATTGTGTGATACTTGCTTTGATACAGTCTGCTCAAACTTAAATTTGTAGTAAAGCTCTTAACTTCAGTGGCAACAGGATCCTACTTCTATATTTTCTTCCACTATAACAGATTAAGTAACGGTTTCTTTTTTTCTCTGCCTCCTCATGAAGTTTTGATGTGCACAAGAAATGCCCTCTTTGTGATGTGATGTTTCCACCGAACTACGACCAGAGCAAGTTTGAGGAGCATGTGGAGAGCCACTGGAAGGTGTGCCCCATGTGCAGTGAGCAGTTCCCGCCCGACTATGACCAGCAAGGCTTTGAGAGGCACGTTCAGACACACTTTGATCAGAACGTATTAAATTTTGATTAAATACTTTGTTTTGCAGTGTAGCTTAAAAACCCCCCACTCTGGGTAGTCCACCTATGGAACGAAACCAGTGCAGCTTTTCTGTAACAGTGCAAACTTCTGATTAAAAGCTAACATACTCTAATGGGAGCTGTGAGCTGCTATTGGGTTATCTTCTCTCTCTACCTAACATTATACTAAAAAAACCCCACCAAACCACAAAACCCCCACTCTGTTGTGTATGTAGCTATTTATTTCCCTACTTAGTGGAATTTGTAAGGCCGGAGGAATGACTTAGCCTCAGAAAAAATGAGACCAGCTTCCTGATGCTCTTCAGCTACATAAAAATGCGACCTGGGGTTCCTCTTGCCTGTGATAACTGAGGCATGATTAAAAAGGTAATAAAGAGATATTTCTCCTAGCAAATTTGTGTAGTTTTTCTTTGAGTAACAGTTAAATCGAAAAGTTCCATTACTTACCCTACGAAAATATAGTTTTCTAGTACATTTCTGAAATGTAGGTGCATGTACTGTGAGTTACAGGCTTGCAACAAAAGGAATGGCAAATCCTTCAGTTTTAAATACAGAATGTTTGCCTTAAGGGATAATGTTAAATTAAGTATATTATACCTTAAGGCAGTATTTTTGAGTTGAAAGAAACTGCTGTGCTTAAATGCCTAAAAGTAATTATTTAAAAAAAATCATTGCCATTATGTTGCAATTGCATTCAGTAGAAAATATTGTTATATTTTCACAACAGTGAATTGTGTTCCTTTTGGCTTAGGGCTTTTAAAACCTTCTGCATTTTAACTTCATGTATTTCTTTCCAGTAAGTAAAAACATGTGTGTATATCTAAACATTTTATATTTACTTTAACTGTATTAAGTAAATTTGCTTTCCACTTGTTGTACAGTAGTCTTGTTACATTAAAAGCAAAATTATTGACGGAGTCAGTGGTCCTTTTTCCCTGCTGCTCATTTTGAAATAAGCCAGAGTTTAGGCTTTACATACTTAGTGGAAATGATGTTTCAGCTCTCTATGGCAAAGAAACTGTTGCTCACACCTAGTTATGCTCTTCATTGGAGAGAGAGACCCGGGGACAAAGGTTTTGAGTAGCTTCTCTTGTCTGCAGTTCTCTTGTGAACATGTGTGATAGATATCCTGCTCAATGCAGGAGTTATTAGAAGCTGGATGACGCAGATAAATGGCAGTGTCTTGGGTGGCAGCTACTCCATCAGCCTCTGTGCTCCTTTTTCAGTCTTAAATTGATTTTTTTTTTTTTTTTAATTGGGAACTTCATGTCAAGAGATGGTTTGAGGGAAGGCATAGAAGTACTGAAGGAATAGTTTGTCGTTTATTTTCCTTACCATAACTCAACAGAACATGGAAACAGTTAGAACAGGCAATAAAACCAAAATCTTACTAGTTACAAAGTCTCAGAGGTTGGTATCCTGTCCACCTCTTTATTTCTGATTTCTGAAACCCTGAGAAGAAAGGTAGCCCACAGCCCATAGCCTGTAGCCCACCCTTCAAAGGGGGCTGCTGTAGCGGCAATACAAACAGTATCTGGTAGCCCGAGCCCTGGTGCGCTGCTGAAAGGAAACAGCCTGTGAACTCTCAAGTCCTTGTCACTGATTACATCAAAATACTTTTTCTCCCCCTCGAGGCTGTAGCACTGTGTGTGATTTTGTGCATTACGAGTGTTGTGCTTAAGTTGCTTCAGATGCTTATTGAATAGAGTGTGATGATACCAAAGTAAAATATACAGCTCAGACTATATACAGCCCAGGATCTTAACTCTCCAGGTTAGTAACAAGTAAAGAGCAGTCTGTTAAGGTCAGAGGCAGTTTATTTTAAATGTGATTTGATTTACATTTATAAGCAGCTTTCTTGACAAGAATTCTTTAAGTCGCCTTCAGTTCTAAAACAAACCTCTGTCACTTTCAAACTTAAAGTACTTTGTCCCCAACAAAACATATGAAAATATAATTTAAAGCACACTTTTCACAGACACGGTACAATACATTCACTATACACAGTATAACAAAATAGTCCCATCTTTACCTGTTTAATAATACTGTCACAATGAATAGGTAAATAGAAACTGGAATTTCAGTTTTATAGTTGAAAGGAATTTACATGCAACAATGACGTTTTACGACTGTTTAGCTGTTGCAGGAACTTACCCAGCCTGTAGTTTCTTGCACTAGGAGCAGAGCCAAAACATGGTTGTTGGCCAGATCTGTTGCCAAAACTGCTGAAGGGGGGAAGTGGCCACCTGGGCCTTGTGGGTACCAGTAACTCTCATGTCTGGATCATCCTTCAAACCCGGCTGACAGCACTGTGCGGTGCAAGCACGGCCACTGCTCTGGGAGTTGAAAAAGGGCATGTTTCGTTTGAAACACTTCTCCACTAGGATGAGTCCTGAGTGTTGTAATGAGACTTTTACTCTGCTGGAAAACAGGGAACTCGTCCTTACAAAGTTTTCCTTTAAAGCTTTGGGGGGAAAAAAAAATAGAGGGAAAGCTCAGTCCTCCTTTATTTGAACTTTCTTTTGCACTTAAAAGAACAGGAACTAAGCGAAGGCGCTTACTGTGTTTAACACAGTGGGTTCCTCCCCACCCCTCACCGTGTCAGCAGCAGCTCCGGGCTGGGGCAGGGCGGGGGCTGCCCGCCTCCCCTCCTGGCCAGCTACAGGCCCCCAATAGCACTTGTGAGAGAAGAGTGCTCCAGGCAGGGTGGTAAGCAACACGTGCTCAGGTATGGTCCAGACACGAAGCGCTCTCATGGTGGCTTTTGTTTTAAGTCAGTCTCTGACCACCTGCTGCAAGAAGCACTTAATCTTCAATAAGGCTCATATGTCATATTTCAGCAAAATTAATTGTAAAGCTAAACAGACACTTCCAAATGGAATGCAGTGACCTACAATGAGAAGCAAAAAAAAAATATGCACAAAGAAAAATCTGAAAATACAATGACCATGAGGGAGAGGCATCAGCAACTCCCTCAGCACAAATAATGGACCTCCTGAAACCATGCGCAGAATTCTTAATTTTTATTTGCAACCACAGGCACATGCTTGTACAGTAGTTGCAAGCATTGGCAACACATAAAACATTAAATCTGTTGGCAATAGAGAACTACAAAGTGCTTTAAAACTTCATCTGAGATGAAGATAATTGTTTCTCACACACACATAAATTTGCACTTAAGTATTTCCAAGTGTCGTTCTAACAGATAGTTTGGGGTAAATATTTAGTTGGACTGGGATCTTGGTCCTCAAAAGTTTGATAGGCGTGACCAGAATGTGACACGTTGTACCCAAAAAAAAAAAAAGAAAAAAAAAAAGTAGTAATTCTAACCCTAAAGTGATTGTTTACTAGTTCAAATGGCAAGATTTTCAGCATTTCAAGAGGGAAAAAAAAAAAAAAAGATTTGCAAGATAATATAAAATACAGCAAGCACACCTTTTTATGTATGTTATTTAAGTATGAAAATATTTTTAGCATATTATGTTAAACATTCTTTCTTATTTATATTTCCATTACCTAAAAGACTTGCTACTCCACTGGTAACTCCATTATGTAAGGCATGTTAACTAGAGTTTGACGAGGGTGGTACTGTTTTGGTTTTGCACACACATTGACAGATGCGTTGAGAGTCTTCATCACGTTGCAATCGTGGAAGGATGTCAGTGCCAAGCTCTCCTCCTCTCACTCCTACTCCAACACTTCGGTACAACTAAATACGCAACGTCCCCCCTAATTTTTTTTTTGTTTTGTTTTGGAGAAAGATGTTCTGAAGAACCTATATAAGCTTTTATAGCACCTTATCTCAAAGTAATGAAAATGGGTATGATGATTACATGTGCAAATGTACAAAATCATTAACTCTACAAAGATACATCATTCCAAAATTACAGAAAATTTTAAAGCATGCATTTAATTTTTTTAAAGGGTTGCTGAATGCTTCCCCTGAAAAAGGTGGCTGTTCTCAAAATCAGCAACTGCTGGTGAGGGTTTCTTGGCACATTTGTGACCAGCATGTTATTGCTGCATCTTCCTGATAATCTCAGCAGACACGGGGGGATGGAAATTGATTGTGTGGTGCCTCAGGCCCTGAGCTGTCTTGTAACTCTTTCCACAGCGACATTTGAATGGTTTGCGTACACGGATTTGCGTTCTGTGGCCGTTCTTGGCGTGGTACTTTATACCGTTCACATTCTGTGAGTGAGAAAGTAAAATGTTAGTGGTCAAGTGGTCTGATAATGGCTTGGCTTTCTGTTAAAAAAAAAACCCAAAATGGATTAATGTTACGGGCAAAATGGCACAAACTGCCAGGAACTCCTGCTAGGTGTCAGGCATTGGGTGGGCTTTCAAGATACGAGGTGGGACAAGAAGAAGAATAATCTACGGCTCTAAGGCATGAACCTTACCTACTTGGGTAATCCTCATTTTTATCTCCCCACATATTGCACTGCTCAAAAAATACCATTTAATGGGCTCACACATGGATGTTCTTTGCTTCCTGACATTTTTTCATATAGCTTTGACAAATTGTATTCAGAGGTTCATTTCCAAGCGAACAAAGAATTGGCGAGAAGGCTCAAGTCACACTTCTTCAAAAAGCTGAAGCTCCCCCCCGGTGCGTTTGTTCCGTTTTGTGTCATTGTTTCTAGATGTGTCTTTAGGCACCAGCACATTCTGATAGTTTACACATTGTCTCCAGTCAACTGCAGGGAACACTTAACTGAAAGAGTTATACAGGTCACGCACTCCGAAAATAATCCAGAGAAGCCATCTTCAAAATAGCTATTGTTTGGGAATATTCTACAGCTAAAACTAGAGAACGGATCTCCACTGTGGTTTGGAGAGGAAGAACGAAAACCAGCACCACGACACAGCCTCGCACTGGCAAGGTCAGGAAACAGGCAACACTTGTGCTTGATGAATCAAGAACCTCACTAACCTAAGTCAAAATCATGCCCCTCTCCTCCTTTTCACATCTTTCTGGCAAAAGAAGAAGCTGTTGTGGTCTCACTAGCATGTGATACTGCTTCATCTAGGATTTGTCTCACTGGAGTCTCTCTTATCTGCTTCCTCTGAAAGAGGTTGGATTTTTGGATAAATGAGGAGAGGCAAGCTGTCTTTCATTAGCACTTCTCCGAGGAAGAAACCAAAGAAGATGCCAAGAAAATCTGTGACAAAAAGATACAGCTCCAGGGCTCTACTGTGTCCTCTCTTCAGTTTCCAGGTATGTATCTTTAAACTATCTTTAAACTATTTAAAAAAAGCCAAAATCAATTAACAGCATGGATATTAATCAACTGACTAAATTAAAAGTTTCAGGGATTTTGTCTTGCTGCAGCACTGCCTGGTGTTACATGGAACAAAAGTCCCCTGGGCTCTTTTTAAGCAGAAGTTCAGTTCTATCAATGCGCAGCTCACAGTAAGTTGAAGCTCCAGCCTGGAACTCGGAGCAATTAGACAAGTCTGACAGTTTATTTAAAAAACAAAACAAAACAAAAAAAAAAGGAAAAGAAAAAGCCTTCAGTAAACAGAACAGAGCTCCAACTCCTGAAACATCAAGGGCTCTATATACATCAGAAGGCAAACCCCGGAAAGGCGTGAGGTTAACAAACACCTTCAGTGCCACCTTCCCGCCAACGCTTCCCGTTCCCTCCCCGGCCTCCCAGTCCAACTTCCGAGTCAGAACCTCAGGTGTTATGTCCCACTCCTGAGAGAGACCATCCCCCCGCGTGCTCCCCTCGCTGCCCCGCTCTAACCACACCTCACAACTGCAAGAGAACTGTGAGGAACTCACAGCTCCCATCGGGCAAGCAGGGAGGGGTGGAACGGCCACAGAAGCCGCCCAGGCTCCCAGATAGCGCCAGAGTTCTCACCTTAGAACATAAAACGCCGGTCCGTTCGTATGACCTGTTACCTGCGCCACGACAGCAACCTATCTCTGATCTTTCAGCAAAAACAGTTCTCCCACTCCAATCATGAAGTTGAGGGCGGTAATGTTCTCATCAGAACTCCTAACACCCCGGGGAGTCTGTTCTGCTGAAGTGGCATTTTAGGGCAGCCTGGGCCTCTGGAGAGCTCCAGTTGTGGAAATCCTCTAGAAAGAAAAACTTAGCCTAAAATATCCACCTTGGAAAAAGGGTACGGTGCAAGACTCCAAGCAACTGCAAATCCATGCCCCTCTCCTCTACAGCATCCAGGCACTGAATCCTCACTTCAAGCTGCAAGTCTAGCCCCCAAATTGGCCTTGACATCCTTAAAAATACTGGACAACTCCTGCACAGCTGTCACCTGAGATGTGGGAGACAAGAACCTTCCATCTCCGATGCAAACCAGACCTGCGAATACAAGCCCTTAGTGCAGGTTGCTTCTCCAGTCAGAGGAGGTAGAACACTGCACCACCAAGACAGCCAAGAACACACCAAAGCTACAAATCATCCCCAAGAGCAGTCAAGTGAATTCCCTGCAGGCTACCTGAGACCCCGAGGCAGCTTTTAGGTGATTCTGCACATAGTTACAACCTCCAGCACCCGCAGGACCACTGGGGTGATGGGGGTGGGAGTGTCACTGGACGGTGTGAGGACTGGCATCTGTCAACACCTAAATACTGTTAAGGACCTGTGCCTTCACAGAGGAGAAAATCTGGTTTTTTTTAACTTTTGCTACGGCATTTTAAACATGAAATTTTATAAACAAAGCTATGCCCAAACCCTACATGTATTTTGGAAACTCCAGAAACCTGTTTAGACTTAATTTTATTAAGAAATCACGTTAAGGTACTTGGAAACTGGTATCAATTACTACAGATGCCATAAATCTGCAATCACAAGTGTCCTCACCATTCCCTGCCAACGGTCCTCTTCCCCGATCCAGGTTTGTTAATGATCCACTCAGTCTCAAGTACACCAGGGGCTTTGATGAAGGGGGGAAAAGTACTTTCAGGCTGAAAAATTTAAGGAAATGCTAAACCAGCAACCTGCGTGGAATGAATTGGGCCATGGAAGGTTTGAAGAGCAGTAAACGCTGCCGAGCATGAGGGGAAATTTGAGCTGCACTCCTGTCTAACCAAGCTGCTGTCAGAATTACAGTCGGCTCTCCAGCACTTTTTCCACTGCTGCAATGTAAACACTTTGTTGTACGTCTGGGCCGAGTTTGCTGAGGTACGGCAAAGCCCACTGCCAAGCTCATACATCACTTTTATTGCGTGGTTCCTTGGGTTGCTCATTATTTACTCTCACAAATGATGGAGGAAGAAGATGGCAGTACAGAAGGGTACTCTCAAATCTCAAACAGGAGGTAACAATTATTAACCGGGGACCAGATCAGGAGGAGATAGAGAAGTTCAGACTGGCACTACCGGGTTTGCATGGACACAAGGACACTTGCTGGGCAGGGCCCCTGGCACGGCAGTACTCATGAAGCCCCCACACTGCAGAGCTTGCCACCCCCTTCAAGTAGGAAAAGAGGCATCAAGGGTGGTTTGGGAGGATTTCTTGTTTCAGACTTGGACATTCACAAATGTTTTCGTATCTCCAGGCTGTTCCTCATGAAGTTGTCTTTGTGGGTCCAGTTCTGCTTTGCTCACCTTGCAAGCTCTGGTTTGCTCCTTTCCTTCTAGTAAACTCCCTTCTTTCCCTCTCTCACTTCAGTATTCCTGCTCCCTAAGCTCTGCTGAGTCCCACTGCTCCTACATCAGCTTTCCTGGGGGTCTGCCCCACCTGACACGCCTCAGACTCATCCCATTACCTATCAGAAACAAGCCCAATGCTTCGGCATTCTTTGAAGGTACCACTTCTCTTGCCCAAGGCCAAAAAGCAGCCGTGTATATACGCTCCCTTTTGTATGCATGGAAATAGATGATGCTTTTATTGTTGTGTTTGCACAAACGACAAAAACTATGACAAATACTCTAGAGTTTCCTCTACAACAGTCTATGGGACCAGCGCTGTTTAATATCTTAATTAATGATACTGACAGTGGGACTGAGTGCACCCTCAGCAAGTTCACTGACAATACCAAGCTGGGTGGTGCAGTCAATGTGCCAGGTGGATGGGATGCCATCCAGAGGGACCTGGACAGGCTGGAGAAGTGGGGCTAGGTGAACCTCATGAGGTTCAACACAGCCAAGTGCAAGGTCCTGCATCTGGGTTGGGACAATCTTCGTTATCAATACAGGCTAGAAGATGATGTGCTGGAAAGCAGCACTGAGGAAAAGGACTTGGGGGTAGTAGTGGATGAAAAGCTGGACATGAGCCACCAATGCGCATCTGCAGCCCAGATGGCCAACCACATCCTGGGCTGCATCAAAAGCAGTATGGTCAGCAGATCGAGAAAGTTGATTTTGCCTCTCTACTCTGCTCTGGTGAGACCTCACCTGGAATACTGTGTCCAGTTTTGGAGCCCTCAATACAAGGACGTGTACCTGTTGGAGCGTGTCCAGAGGAGGGCCACAAAAATGATCAAAGGGCTGGAGCACCCCTCCTATGAAGACAGGCTGAGAGAGTTGGGTTGTTCAGCCTGGAGAAGAGAAGGCTCTGGAGGGACCTTACAGCAGCCTTCCAGTACCTGAAAGGTGCCTATAAGAAGGCTGGGGAGGGACTGTTCACAAGGGCCTGTAGCAACAGGACGAGGGGTGATGGTTTTAAACTAGAAAAGGGCAGATTTAGGTTGGATATTAGGAAAAAGTTCTTCAATTGAGGATGGTAGATCATTGGAACAGGTTGCCTGGAGAGGTAGTGGGGGCCCATCCCTGGAGATATTCAAGGTCAGGCCTGATGGTTCTCTGAGCAACCAGCTCCAGTAAAGATGTCCCTGCTCACTGCAGGAGGGTTGGACTAGATGACCTTTGAAGGTCCTTTCCAATCCGAACCATTCTGTGATTCAATGCATTATGTGTGGAGTTTTTGTATCTACCTATTATGTATCAAACTTCACTTACGCTTTGTAAATTGCCTGAATAACTTTATCTACATCATATACACATTTTGAATGTCCTCCTCGAGAACTAGAGACCAAATAACTGGCACACATAGGTGGTATTGAATAAAAGGAAAACTAATTGTCACCTTCATAAATTCACACTTTAGCTCCTACAAGTGGCATTTTGCAAAGCACATTAACTACTCAATACCCACGCGCTTCTGGACGGGGCATCTAAACGTGGATGTAAATCCAAAATCTGGTGAGGGTGAACTCCACAGAAACAGGGCTAAGATCTCTGGGTTCCTCTGAATCATGTAGATAATTGTCTAAAAATCAAATTTAAGGTATCTAATACAAATCACAGGAAGGAAAAAAAAATCCATAAATGGCAAAATGTAAAATACTTATAATTTGTTCTCTAGGCCAGTAACCATAATTAGAGAAGAAAGCAAGCTTCAGAAATCAGTTCAGAGGCTTGTGTTTTAAGAAGTCAGTGTGCAGCAGATTCATTTAGCTGTTTCTGACTATCCTTCAAACAAACTTACATGTCATTAGTAAAATGGGTTTTTTCCCCCCAGAATCTTTGGCTCCTCAAGAAAATCCGTGCCATACTCTGTAGAGCACCAGTACATATTATCAGCAAGCAATTTTAGTTTTTTTAAATAATAAAGTTCCTGAAGAACAACTAAATGTTTATGACTCACTTCTACTGCACTGCCTATGGGAAGCTGCCGTGAGATGGCAGCTGGGCAGGAGGCCAGTAGGGTCTTCTGATACCCATCTGGGCTTGTGTATAAACATGTTCTCATTACAGTTTCCATTGTCCGCCCCAGCCCATTCCTTGGGAGTATTTGTTGTACTCATTCTTGCCTTATTTACCTTTCCATAATGACTTTTCAGTGCAGAGGCCATCTTTTATCCTTGTACATTGTTTGCAAAAAGGAGCCCCATCCCTACTGGGTCCTTTAAGCAGTACTGTAATACAAATAACACATCTAAAAATAACATTTGTGCTCCTCAAACGTACGTCACCTAAGGCTAGACAAAAGAAAACTGTGTATATCCTCCTTTCCTCCTCGCTCCCTGAAGGAATGCATCCTTTCTCAGCCGTAAAGGGAGCCTGGCAATTACTGTATGTGCATGTCCCTGTTCCTGTTTGGAGCTCTGTAATTGTTTTACAGCCCTGACTGTGATTATCCAGTACCCACCAGAAAATCCCAGTGCTTTGATCACAGGACTCCCTACCCAGACTCCGCAAATAATTCATCAGAGGAGGGGGTTAAGCAGAAGGAAGATGAAGAGGAAATAAGAAACACAGCTGACACAAAGCTAAAAGGAAGGAAATACAGATAAAAATGTAAAAAGAAAAAAATTAGGCTGAAAAGAAAAAAGGGAGGAAACAAAGCCCACAGAAAAGAGAAATGAGGTGAGGCAGAGTTTAAGGAAATGTGTTTTCCTATCAGGACTAAACAGAGGTGAGTTTCTTAGGAAAATACGGTACTTTTTATTTGCTGCTGCTCTCTGCCTGTCAGCCTCTCTCAGGGTCGTTAATTTGTTCCCTGTCCGACTGCTCTAACGTTAATAGCGTACGAGATATGCCTTAGACAGTCCTCATGCATTTGAGATGAAGGCAGTGAGATAGCAGAAGCAGGCAGAAACAGCTTGCTGATTTGGGCAATAAAAAGACAGAGGGCTGGCAGTCAAACAGAGAACAGACAGGATATAGCAAATTACAGGGTTCTCCTTCTAGCTTTTGCCATTAAGTGAGTGTTTTCTGCAATGCTTAGATGCCCTGTGGGCACAGTGACTTCTAACAATCACCATGGCTTGTTTGCTTCCTGAGCTAGGGTTTAGCTTTTATACTATACCCTTCATCTGGCACAGCTTCTACCACACACAGGGAAAGTATTAATCTTGAATAATGTGGGTATATCTGCAAAGCAATACTTGCAAATAGTCTGAAAACATATTCCCCTCTGCCCTGCCCGTGGAGATGGTGTTCAGTTTTTCCTGTAACTGAAGGGAAGAATAACTCTTACATAGTTCAGGCTAATCTCTGCAAAAACCACGTGTATGTCACTAAGAACTGAGCATGCTGCATTCTCGTCTTTTAAGTATTGTCCATATTAACTCATCTGCATATGAACCAGAGTCTTGTGATTTGCCGCTACGGGAGCAGCCACGGCCCAGAACAGCTGCAGCATCACTGAAACACGTTTTCGTCCACTACACGGTGTCACGCACAGTTTATTCATTCTTGTCACAACTGTTTTATCTCAAATGTTATTGGTCTCCCTATATTCCTCTTTCATATTTCTGTTCTCTTTTAAGTCCCTACTTTTCAGTTATTTAAAGGAGAAGCCATAAAATAAAACTAGCATAAAGCCAACCCAACCACCACTGCTTTTTCTAGGGTATAGGTCAATGGTTAAATTTTCTGTTACTTAATGCAAAAGCTTCAGAAAATGATTTAGAGGAACTGTGCCAACATGCTATTCCTGTTCCCAAATGCCAATGACTGTAAAATACCCTGCTGAAGTCCAGGCTATTCAATACAATTTCATCTGTCTCTGCACCGGTTCCTGTGAAGCAATACTCCTGTCCTCACAACATCACGGCATGTTCTATACCAGTTCAAGGCTCAAAGTTAAAGACGTTTCACTCCCACAAACAGATCACAATTTCTCATGATGGGGAGAAATTAAAAAGGGGGAATAGTTTCCCAGCGGGTCACGCAGAGGGATGCAAGCCCTGCATTTCCGGACAGAGGCACCGACTGCTGTGCAGATGGGTCATGGGGATTCGGACCCAGGACAGAACGACACCAGAATTTCTCCAAGGCTCTGCCTTCCTGAGGTGACCTCTGACTTACAAAATATTAACCACCACATTCTGCACATCGCCTTTACCAGGAAAAGGACCCTGGGCACAGTCTCACTAAAGGAGAGGCAGTATCTCTGGCAGTTATGCGGACGGAATTCATTCTGGCACTGATGGGCAGAAGCTGTTTATTTCCCTAAAAGGGACCCAAGAGATTATGTTGCTGGTAGTACCTCCTGCATTCAGCAGTTAATTTGTCTAGATAACAGAAAACTAGTTAAAATGTGTAAAGCAAAAGAGTCACTGTATGTAATCTCTCTCAACAGATGGGGATGCACAAGGTTACATCCTTTGTAAAACTGATAACTTCACTGTGCTTGAGAGGAAACCAGTGAATAAAATACATACTCTGCTAAAATAGCACAAAAATAAATGTGAAAAGTCTATTAAATGAGAAAGGTACAAATTGCTTTTAGAGGCTTCCCCTCCACCTCCCACTATACCAGTGGGAAATAAGGTAGGTCTGCACTACTGCTTACCTTATATCTTTTTTTACATCCAGGAACAGGACAGGCAAAAGGTTTCTCATCCCCTCCATTCATGCACATTGAACTAAGGATAGCTTCAGAGCTGATAGCACTTTCTGTAGTCCAGGACTCATCACTGTCTGATTCTTCATAGTCTACTTCCTCCTCATCATATTCACTACCTAGAAAAGCGGAGTAGTGACATAAAACAAGAATAAATAAGAGCACAGCAAGATAACACATTCTGCATTTATTACATCAGTTACAGTGACTTGTAATTTCCCCACTGGTGTTTTTGCTGGAAGACAGTTACTTTTAATTTTGTAAATCTGTCTTTCTTATAGTTAGTTATTTCTTCATAAAGACACCAGTGGTTCTTTCTCTAATAACCAGGACAGGCATTATTAATATATCTTCATAAACTGTTAACTGTGTGGCACAGAAAGTTCAAAGGACTGATTTTAAAATGCAGTTTCATTACTCCTCAAACACCAGGATCCTTCTGTCTTTCCCAGTGCCTGAACAGAAAATGTTGGTTTTTTCCCCCTCTGCAATTAAAGCTAATTTTAAGGCTTTTCTTTATGCAATACAATACTGAAAAGCGTAATTCTACAGATCATAAACAGTGTAAAATAATATGTTGACAAGTCCTAATGCATTTACTAGCCCTTTGGAATTAATAGGAATTATAGCACAACATTAATAAGAATTATATTGTAGCAATTATAGTTGTGAAATTCATTCCCTCAGGTGTGGGGATAAATTGCATTGTGTGGCTGCCCTGAACAGACCGCATTATGTTCCAGATATGCTACAACAGCCTTGAGCAGCTGGTGCTGAGTTTATTTATTATTTTTAATTGCAATAACTATTAATGAAATTCTCTGAAGAAGTTAAATGTGAAACAAGAGAAATGAGAAAAGCAGAATTCCAACTATAAAAATGCAGTTAAAAAAAAAAATAAGGGGAGTGAAGAGCCCCAGCTGATTAAAAAGAAAATATATGCACAGAGGGAGAGAGAGGGAAAGCCGAGGGAAACTTCTGTGGTGTCAGCAGGAGGTGGTGCTGTGTTTCCCCTCCCCTTTATTCTTCCCCTTTCCCAGCTCTGCTAAATTTTATCCTCTCTGCTGAAAGACAATTTGGCTCCAAGTACTGGAATAGCTCCCGTTATTAAAGACAGCTATGTGACACTCGCATGGCTCTATCTGCTTCCCTCATATGCCCTTTAAGTGCATGCCTCTCAGCAGCTCTACGCGCCAAGAAGAAAAGGCAGACAGATGCCTCACGGCACTTTAAAAAAGAAACATCCCCACTTCACAGAGAAAGCCCAGGCTGCAGTCTACAACGGGGTCTTTGGGTTGGTTTTTTTTTTGCTTCTGACGAAACTAAACACACACCTACCGTGTCAAATTTTCCCCTTTGGATTCCCCCTCTCCCAGTACTCTCACTTGGCCTTGGCACCTCTCCATCATCAAGTAAAAATGCATGTCAACTGGTAGCTGCAAGTGCTCAGGGCTCCTGAGCTTTAATCAGATCCTGTAAGCTCGCTCACAGATGTCAGGCTATCCGCGTTTCTTTCCTGTGGTTTTCACCCGTACAGGGTGGTGTGCAGATGAGGAAAGATGGATGGTTTCCCACCGTCAACAACTGTCGACATAAGCGCACGCACACACGCTCTGCAGCACATCTGGAAAACTCTGCCCCGCTGACTGCGGCTCCTTCTCCCACACCGAATGAGCGAAAGCCAAAGAAAGCATTATTGACCTCTTGAAATATTTCTGAACTCTAGCAACAGTTAACCTAAAATGAAGTTAAGAGTTGTTATATTTTAATTAACTAATAAAAAAATGGAGGCAAAACCACAACTCTGCTTCTACGATTTCCTGCCCTTGATTTGTATCTTGATGGAAAAAATTCCTCAAGCTGTTCCTTTCAAACTTTTTAGCTCAGTGGTTTTTTTTGTTTTTTTTTTTTTGTTTTGTTTTTTAAGCAAATGCAACAGAAAACCCTATTGTAAATACACATATGCACTCCTAGGATGAGAAAATATACAACAATTCTGAACACTGATACCAACAATTTCTGCCATTACAATCACCCCCCTTGTAAGCCCCCTGAAGAGGGGGTGATTTCCTCCCAAAGAGGATTTTTTGCTTCCAAAGAAAACATCATTTGAGCCTGTACGACATCTACTAAGGGTATCACTACTTCTAGGGATAACAAGGAGCATGCTTTTATAAAACAACAATCAGTGCTCTATAAAACTTAATATACAGTGTAGTCTATAAGGGAAAAGACACACACAACAATGGGGAGAAGAAGCAATTATTGCAATTATGCATTTCCATAGGGTTTCCTGTACTCAGGGCATTCTTTTAGTTTTTCTAATGACTTTGCACAGTAAGACCCAATTCTGTAACAACATTTGCCTGTACTTCACTTGTAGGTAGATTCACTGAAACAGAGAGACAGAAGAGATCAAAACGCACCCATAAGCATCTGTGAGGTCAGACCATCCTTATGGTTTTCTTTTGATTAGCTTACCTGAACAAAAATACAAGATTTTGCCTAGAAAAGTCAAAAGAGTTTTTAATATCGTATAAGCAAATGCTCCAGTGTGTCAAGGTTTTAAACCAAGACTTGTCACCAGGGATTTTTACAAATATGATGAGCTTTTTCAAGCATGAAGAACCACAGAAATAGATTTTTGTTATTTACCAAAACAGTATACTAAGAGTGCAAAGTACATTAAAGGTGTATTACTTGATACAAAGGTGAAACTGCAGAGTCTATCGCTGCTTTTATCTAACAGTGCCCTACTGAACTCAATTGTTTGTATTTTCATTAAAAAAAAAAGAGAAATTAAAAATCCCAAAATGTATTTAAGAGGGTCCTGGTATAAACAAAATGTAAAAAAATTACTGTCTTGAAAAAATTCATTAGCAATAAAAATTTATCCTTTAAATAATTATGTTGTTTCAGTTGCCATAGAGAAACAACACTGATTTAGTCAGGCTTTGAACTGATTCTGCCTCAGAATTTAATTTCCTCAGTTGTCAGTGTCTAAGAGCAGCAACCCACACAGTGCCTCCCTGACTGCATGCAACACAAGAGAGGAGGGGGGGAAAAGAGGAAAAACAAAAAGCACAACACACAGGTTGGTGCTGCCACAATAAACAGCCCCTAGGTGAGGTGTTTTAATTAAGTTCTGCAAGGCCGAGGATGGTGGCTTTGCAAAGCTGTTCCCACGCCGAGCAGGAGTCCCGGGCCCTCGGCTACACGTCAGGTGCACAAACCGCAACCCCAGCCGCCGGCTGCGGCGGGCTCCTGGGGCAGCTCGCCACGGCACCAGCGGCGCGCTGCAGGGGAAGCGCGCAGCACCGCACTTCCATCAACACACAGCTTGCTTGCTCTTTTGTAACCTTGGTTGGTGTTTCACAAAAATAATTGTACATATTTACTTTTTAAAAGGAAAAAGAAAAAAAAATGAAGCAACTTTGCATCTAACCCATGGCCTCTGTTCCAGTGCAACAACTGCGTGACTTGGACAAATACTTGCAAAAACTCTGGAGAGCTCCAAGAGGGCTGGCTCACTCCTCTCCGCCTGGACCTTGCCATGCACATGGAAAACAGGATGCTCTGCTGGGGCACGCTGCCCTTCTGGGGGACCGAGCAGAGCCGTTTCTGTAGCACATGTGCTAATGGCCTTGCTGCTACTCAAAGGAAAAATACTGGAACTAGGCTTCAGAAGTCAGAGCAGTGAAAAACTCGCCCAAAAGTCAACAACATACACTCCTCTAAGAGAAGCGTATAAATATCTGGAGGGGAAAGGGTGACAGAGAAGCACATGCTTTCAGCAAGGTGATGTACAAATACACAGTATTATTACTATAACTAAATACTATTCTACAATAGCACGAAAACTGCCTTCTCCACCTCGTTCCTCTGGCAATGCTCTTTCTGAGGCTCCTCGCCAGCCAGCTCGTTGCCTTTTACCATATCCAGTTTCATCATCCGCCTTTCATTCAGAGACCCTCCATAGTTGTGCCTCAGTCTGACCTAAACCCAGTATTTTACTGTTCAAATGACTCAGTAACATCTTCCCAATATTGCCTTGCCCTCGCATGCAGTATTCCCTCAGTCGTGGCCCACAAAGCCATTTCCCCTCTCCTAACTCCAGTGGCCCTGCCACAAGGCTCACCTCATCTGTGCTGTCCCCAGCAGATTAAAAAATGGAACAAAACAAAAAAAAGGCAAGGAAAGAATGTTAGTTTTGGGGTTTTTTTCCTGGAATTTTCCATGCTGAGACAATGCCACTGCTCCTCAAAGAGGAGGTGGACTCCACTGGTGGAGATGGACTTGAGGTGGACACCACTAGGCACAGCTGGCATAGTATGACATATCAGAGCCAGGAATTACATAAAATTACTGGTTGTGAAAAGGCAGAAAACACACAAGGTCACAAAGTATTCTGGCAAGTTATTTCTCTTTTCATTTTTATGCTGTGTTTAAACAAACTCATCACAAGTCAGAAGGCTGTCTGCATCACAGCAGTTGATTTGCCTATAGTACACACCTATGCATGAAAAGGGATTATGGTTACTGCCTGGGTGGTCAGAAGTCTTTGCAGTGTGATGAAAAGCAAAGCTGCACCATGAGGACTTCGTCTATCTCTTCTTTCACTCAGTTTTGCTATCAAAATCAGCAAGAACATCACTTCATCCTACAGCAAAGATCTCACCTCTTGAATGCCCATCTAGTACTTTTTTAGATAGATGGAAGTCAGTAATTTAAGTAGTTCAGAAACATTTTGCAGAGAGTTAGTCATTTGACATTCTGGAACAGACAACATCCCAGCTACACTTATCTTATCTTTTATGTTCCTGGGGTTTATTCGGTATTCACACAACTGTAGCCAAATAAATTCTGCCTTTTGCATGAGTGAATCCACACCACCATGAGATTCACGGAGGATTTTTTTTCCCTCAACTTGGTTCTAGCAGGTGCACATCATTTGTATTTATGTCACTTTTAAAAAGACTTCTATACTGTGCTTTGAAATGTAAAAAAGACAAAGCTGATGAAAACCAGCACAAGCTGTGCGTGCCATTACAATAAATAAGATCTATCTTGACCTCTGATCAGGAACATTACAAGTTCTTCCTTTCTCCTCCCGTGAAGGAAAACAAACCCAAAACATCCTTGCCAATTATTTTTGTGACCAGAAAGTATACATTCAATTATACAATGAATAACTATAAGCAAATAGCTTAATGCAGTGGGAACCAACATTGCTGGTGTCACTGAAAGTTCATGGTAATTCCAATGATTTCTCATGAAAATTCAGCTCCACACTTTGTCCCATGCAGGACCTGCAGTTTGTATTTCTTAGAAACAGTTTTATTAGAGTATTTCTTATGTTAAGAAGTTTGCACTCCCATATACTGTGACAACTTTGCTGATAAAAAAGTGAATTATTAATATTATGTGAATTTTGGCCTGACAATAAAGCACATTTATGGATTTGTCAAACTTCTTTCCCCTGTGCCCATGGATGCACACAGTCTCCTGCACGCTCACCAGCAGGGATAACGTTCCCACAGCTGATACTCATTGCTGATCTAAAGACATATCAAGTCATTCAAAATGAAATATTTTTCCTTTACATAAAGCACAGGAAATAAATGCTAGGGGCAATGAAATACAAAACATGCATTAACACAGTTAGACATGTGTCATGCCTGCTGCGCAAGTCTTTAGTCTGGAAGCTGTAGCAGGACTCTGAGAGCTGGTACAGGTGGCACAATGCATTGGCTCTGCAAACTCAGGCAACAAATTTCAGACACTGGATCATCCAAACAGATGAAGCCAGGATTTGTCCTTTGCTTGCTTGCTTGTTTTGGGGGTGAGGGGGTTTCAGCCTTTGTGAAACGTCCATTCAGATTAACTTCTTGTATTTTCAAAAATAAGTTTACCATTCATAGAATCGTTCTGATTGGAAAAGATCCTCAAGATCATCAAGTCCAACTGTAAACCTCACACTGCTGATCCCACCACTAAACCATGTCCCTAAGCACATGTTTAAATACCTCCAGGGATGGTGACTCCACCACTTCCCTGGGCAGCCTGTTCCACCCCTGGCCAGCCTGTTCCAATACTTCACAGCTCTTTTGGTGAAGGAATTTTTCCTGATATCCAATCTAAACCTCCCCTGGTGAAACTTGAGGCCGTCCCCTCTTAACCTCTCACTTGTTACTTGTGAGAAGAGACCA